GTGGTGTATCAGTTGAAAGTTGTTCGTTTATTGGTTGTTACTGATGGTTATCTCGTTGCTTTAATTGGTCGTAAAATTATTGATTTTCAAAAAGTACACATTATCTCATATAAATCAGCAAATGTATGACGAGTACCATCAACTAATACATGGCAAGAACTATGTACAACAAATAAAAGAGCAGATAATTCACCCGACCAGCCACCTGACCAGCCAACCTACCTATCAAATGTGATACCCTTGCCAACAAATATGAGTGGTGCCGTGCTGGCATCAGCCGCACCCTGGTACTTCACCTCGAGGAACACCGGGGGCTCGTGGCTGCCCTGAGCCACACTCAGGAACGCTCCCATCTTCATCGACTGTGCCCAGGCCTTGTCTCTGTGTGGTGACGTCATGTGATCACGTGATCATGATGATGGCTAGTGCAATGATGGCGTATTAACAATGATAAAATTAAAATTTTGTCACATCACAAAGACCCATATAGGCATACATGAATCACACTCGACGGCAGGCAACAAGTCACCTCCAGACACCATCAACCAAACACGAATACACACAACAACGCTGGAAAGTGCACAGCCAAGCCACACATAACAACAACAACATGGATCTAGCAAGTCAGTTATAAACAGCCACACTTGAAGCAATACGACCAACATCGTAACAATCACACCAGCCACACACAACCACAGAAAACTACCCACACACACACCACACACACACACACACACACACACACACACACGACCACAGACAACAGCGCACACAACTACGAATATAAAATACAACAGCACCGACCTTGGAGTGACGGTTACATTAGCAAGCGAGCCCAACTTTTCAACGGCGATCTTAGCAAATGCAGTGGGGGTTATCTTGTTGGCAGGACCCTCCATTAGGTAGCGGGCCAAGTTTTGGCCTTCAGCCAAAATTTTACCCCTTTCCCAACATTGTGATACACTGTTATGTTATGATAGATGATATTATTAATGAGTGTATATGGAGTGATATATAGTGAGAAAAATCTAGATACACTGTTATGTTATGATACATGATATTAATATGAGTGTATATGGAGTGATGTATAGTGAGAAACATGATATTAATATGAGTGTATATGGAGTGATGTATAGTGAGAAACATCTAGATACACTGTTATGTTACGATACATGATATTAATATGAGTGTATATGAAGTGATGTATAGGTAGAAACATCTAGATACACTGTTATGTTATGATACATGATATTAATGTGAGTGATGTATAGTGAGAAACATTGAGATACACTGTTATGATACCCATGATAGTAATATGAATGTATATGTAGTGATAAACATGATAGTAATAATACATAATAATTATAATAATACATAATAGTCCGACCCATAAGGAATGAAGACTATAAACGAGGACTGATTGATTGATTGATATGTAGTGATATTAAATTTATATATAGATATATAACATCACGTTTTACATGTATCAATCAGTTTGCTATATAAATGCGTAAGTACGTAGGTATATAAGTAATAATCATCAATAATTTTAAAGGCAATAAATTTTACTAGCTCTGATAATTTCAAAATTTTATAACTCAATAAACTTGAGAAGCTAGGAGTCATAAATCGTTAAAATGTATAATAAACAAAATTCAAGTACATGTTTAAGTTCAAAGATCAAGTCGATCAGATAGAAACCAAACTTGAAACACATGCACGCAGACCTAATTTAAACAACAGTATGCCAGTACCATGTTTTGTTTAACGGGCGTAAATAGGTTTAGAAATGCAATAAACATTCTTCATCTAGGACACACTGTTCTAGATGTGAATGCTGGCACAAATGTTCTTATGGTTAAATCAAGCAAAAAATAAACACCTAAAAATGTAACTAACCTCTACTGATATGAAAATATAAAGAAAAAATCAAAAGATAAAACAAGATATTAAGGATAACATTAACAATAATAATAATAATAATAATAATAAAATAATTATAATAATTGAAGAAAAAAGTCAGAGATGGCATACTCATTGTTTCCAGCAGCCAGGCTCAACTCAGGGGGGGGTTTTCGTTTGTCGGCCGCCTTCAATTCGTCGTACGCCCACACAGATAGGAAGGCACCCTCCGCTGCAGCTGTTTGATTGGTTGTTGGATGATTGGTTGGTTGGTGATTGGCTGGTTGGTGATTGGCTGGCTGATGTTTGGCCGGCTGGTGATTGGTTGGTTGGTGATTGGCTGGCTGGCTGGTGATTGGCTGGTTGCTTGATTGGTTGGTGGGTGGTTTGTTGAGAGGTTAGTTGATAAATTCATCTCCTTTATATTTGTTTAGTTATTTTGTTGAAAAAGTGTGAAGGTGATTTTTTGATTTTTTTTTCTGGCTGACTAGTTGACTAATTGAATGTGACTGAACTTATTCATTGAAAAAATTGAATTGACTGAAACTAATTGCAAATGCATCTAAACACAAGAACATCAATTCAGACAGCAGCAATAGTACAAACAACCACACAAACAACAACACGAACAACAACACGAACAACCACACAAACAACAACACAAACAACAACACAGAGACATCAACTATACAAACAGCAATAACAGACCTTCAGGCTCATTGCATGGATCAACAGAGATTGTTTTGACGCCAGCATCATGTAGCAATTTGACACCAGCTGACAAAATTAACATTATTATTAACATACTACATAAAAGCTGCAACAATAAGATCTACAACATCAGCATGCCAGCATCATCCCAACAACAACATCGCAACATCAACAACCCAACAACAAAAACAACAAATAACAACAGCAACATTCACAAAGGCAACATGACAACAACCAAACAACAACAGCCAACCAGCAACGCCAGTCCTGACATTATCTTTGCCCTCGTCAATCTCTTCCAGCTCATTGACACCGACACCCTTCTTTCCGAGGCTGGTGAGGACAACGTTGTTGTACTCTGCATCCAGGCCGACAAACAAATTACATTTGCCTTTCTTGGCTGCTAACCCTGATCTGTTTCAGTTTGATACCCCATTGAAAATGATGATAAATAAAATCTTGCATTAATGCTTAATCATATCGGTTTATGATCTTACGTTAATGTTTAATTGTATCAGTTCACGATGAATTGAGTATCTATAACGTGTAATGTTCAGTTATGAAACTGCTAATCACCCACTGATATCACACCATGTGTTACAACATATCTTTGTAACCAAAATGATAACCATCAACCAAAAAAACATATAAGATAATTTCCAAGAACTTGAAAGGATAGGACAGAAATTATAATTTGAACAAATACTTGTAATTATAACAACGTGTGTGTGTGTGTGTGTGGTGTGTGTGTGTGTGTGTGTGTGTGTGTGTGTGTGTGTGTGTGTGTGTGTGTGTGTGTATACTATACCCATGAAAGTACATAAGGTACCATCATCATTCACTCAACCAAACAAACAAACAACATAATGACACATACATAGAAAAATTACATAAGCCGTTATAGTTATGACTAATTCGAATTTACTTAGTTTAAAAAATTGCACAAGCTGTTATGACTAATTCTAATCTACGTCATCTGCAGGAAACCAAAAGGTAAAATTTCCAATAACCATTTGATACGACCAAGACCAAGTAGGCGAACGTGACGAAAAAAAAATTTAGCATTGAAACGCAGGCAAACAATACTGCTATAAAATAAAATTAACTAAAAAAAATACTCACCAGAATTACTAATTTGAAGCTAAAGAAATTAAAAATAAATATTGAAGTAAATAAATTAATGACTGAATGAACTACTTTAATTACACGTGGTTAATGTATAAATTAATATATACACTGGCCAGCACACACACGCGCACGCACACATGCATACACACACGCGCGCGTGCACACACACAAATACAAACTAAATATATTTAAATATATTAATGACTAGTTAATTAAAATGATAAATTAATTGATTCCACTCCTATCTGTTTTCATGCTATAACCTCATAGATCACAGCTTGATGTTTCATTCTTTGTGTGTGTGTATGTGTGTGTGTATGTGTGTGTGTGTGTGCGTGTGTGTGTAACTGTGAGCAGATGCAATCACTCATATAAAATAAGAAAAATTATCTGAACTTTGAACAAATCATTTCATGGATGGGAGATAATTTAAATAAATTTTAGCCAAAAGGCATATGAAAAAAAATTAATAATAATTAAACCTATGATTCAACTGAAAAAAATTTTAATCAAATTATGTGAAGAAATGTGAAGAAATAACATCAAGAACTTGATTATATAAACTTCATAAATTATTTAAATTATTATTGATTTCACTCTTATCTGATTCTTTCAGGCGTGTGTGTGTGTGTGTGTGTGTGTGTGTGTGCGTGCGTGTTATACGTTATATGCAACTTTTATTTCAAATTCTACCCAAATATAACTATCATAGTCATCATCAACATCATCATCAACATCAATAACAATAAGAATACAGCATCAGCTTTAAAACCTTTTTCACAAATTTGTAATAATGTTACAAACAATTCTTATAATTTGTTGCTACCTTACCTACCTAATTACAAATCATATGATTAGTGAATGGCCAAAAACTTTGAACTAAAATAGAAAGATAAATAAATAAAAAGTTAATCTCAATCCATGTGAATCTTTTTACCGCTTTATAATTATTTAATTAAACTTTAAGGAAGGAACAACTTAGCTAATCGGAGGATGTTGATTCTATAAAAAAATTTAACTTATCTGCCGTACTAACTTTATATACAGATTGAAGATGGATCAAACCAATGGAGAAATTATTTGAAATAATTGAAAAGAAAAAATAAATAATAAAGTTTATCTGAAATATTTTGAAAATTGAAATTAGCTCAAAAAAAAAAATTTTAAATAAAACCAAAAACTAAAAGACAATTCTCACATCTGCAGCAGGTCAGGAAGACATTTTTTCTTCTCATCCTGAAACTGTTTGGCAGTCTTCGTCAGGTGCACCTCGCCCTCTGCCTCACCCTCGTAGAACCCAAGAACCAAGCCTTTCCTTGCAACCTGTGTGTGAGTGTATGTGTGTATGTATGTGTGTGTGAAAGTGTGGAAGTGTGTGTGTGTGTGTGGAAGTGTGTTTGTGTGAAAGTTAAGGTTTCATTTAAATTAAAAAATTTTTAAATGTACCTCAGTAGCCATCACAAAAAAAGAAATCAGAAAATTCAGTGAAAATTCCTCCTCACTGAAGTAAAACAATCATGTGATGGATAGTGTTAATAAACATTAAGACAATGTAGGACTATTTATATAAACGTGTGACATATAAGTGAGTACATGCATGCAGTGAGTGCAGCAGATTGTGTGTGAATGTGTGAGTGTGATTGTAATTATAAAGGGGATGTGTATTCATGCTCATATTTGTGTATGTGTGTGTGTATGTATATATATATATATATATATATATATATATATATATATATATATATATACATACATATATGTGTGTGTGTGCATGTGTGTTTGTGTGCATGGTGAATGTGTGTCAAATTCATGCTATCCTGTTTAAATAAATGTTTGTTGTTTGTGTTCATGATGAAATGTGCTCTAAAGAAATATGACTGAAATGCCTTATAGCAACAAATCACATGGTGGGTATTTTTTTTTTGACAGAAGTAAAACCAGAGCAAAATGTTAAATTCATTTTGAACATATGAACAAAAAGTAACTTTTGCAATTTATAACCAATACTTCAAGTGTAACAACAACGCAGCAAAACTTTATTTGAGATAGAGAAATAGACGATGACAATCTATAATCCAAATTTCTGAACACATTCAAACAAAGTGCTCTTTCTAAAGGGTGATAATTAACTTAAGAATACCAGCTCTAACTCTTTTATTATACTTCTAGAAGTCATTTAAACATGGCTATGGTTTATTTATAAACGACAAAAGAATTTTGGGTATAAGAACTTAAAAAATACCTGGTACAGGTACTTCAGAGGTTTTGTGTTTCAGTTTATTAAACTTATTAACATCATATAATTCACATCATAATAACTCGCTCTTTTTACAATACCTTTCAGCTTGTTCTTTTTTGTGAAATTAAAAAAAGTTAATCTAATGGAGCAGTATAATTTAACAATTGCTATGTGTTAAAGAGGCATAAAAGTCAAGTTGTTTATACTATTATGATCATGACTGTAGTTTAAAATTCTTAGTAGAGAGCTATTTAAACACCTTGTGACAAACTTTAAATTATCCTATCAACTGTCAAATTATCTCTCTCAGCACAGGAAATAAAGAGATAAATGATAATGCTTTTGTGATATTTTGAGCAATTAATTAAAATTTCGGTTTAGAACTTTTGGTCTTAAAACTCAAACTTCAACAATAATCTACTACTTAGTTATAACCTGTATCTATCTATACTCTATATACGCTGAATACAAATGACTTATATGATATTATATATATAAATATACATCATATATGATGATATCATTATATTGTATCTAGATATATTATATATAGATACAATGAATTCATTTTTATACACATTCAGACACATAAATATATGGGCGAACATTTGTGAATAAGTATTATATAAAATAGACATTCATGCTGATATAAATAATAATAATCATAATATATCACATTTTTATGATTATATTTCTTAATTTTTACTTCTGAAAAGCCAGCGAATGTTTGTTAACTAACGTTCAGTTTTAAGCTATTTCAGAAAAAATTATTGTAATAAAATTTTTTTACGAAATAAAAAATAATTTTAAATCTGAAATGACATTTAGAATAAATTTATTTTAAGGTTAGTTAGTGTCAGACTTAAAAAATTAGTTTGTTAGACAAACATTTGTTAACTTCTAACAAGTCAATTTTCAATTAAATAATTAAAAAATTAAGCAGCAAACCATCTTCACTTCACTTGTTTCACCCTTTCATCTTACATTACTACACCTACAGTCAGATATACATAGAGGTACACTGGTACAGACACTCACATGTTAGATTAGACAGACTTATACAAGAAAGTTGATAATATTAATTATAATTCAACAAAATAAAAAACATGGTGTGTTTGATGTGGAAAGTTGTCGTAATGAAAAAAAATGTGCAAGCAACTCCATGGCGTGATGCAAGCAAATCCAACACAGAGAAACGAAAAATGCGTACATATGCGAGACGAACGTACATATGCGAGACGAACGTACATACGCGAGACGAACGCGTGTGCACCTAGCTAGCTGCACACTTCGAAGGTTAAAAATTAGCAAATGCGAGTCAAATAAACGTACGCGAATCATTTATTTCAATAAATTCAGATCTCACTTCATTCGATTTAAAATATTTTTGTGAAAAATTAGAAATAAGTTTAGTCACTGACCGTTGCCATAGCCAAACGCCGAGTTGCCAGAATCAATAAATTATGCGATCTTAACATCATAGAACTTTGACAATGCCTTCGACCTTCTATGGCAAACCATTGAAATTATTCAATTTTAAAAAATCTTAACATTTTTTCTTTACACACGCTGTATACATGTGTCAGGGTTTTAGGGGGGGCCAACTATTTTCACGTATTTTATAAATTATATTATAAGAAAATGTTTGGTGGAGTCACCGAAGTTTGATCACGCTAAAAACAATTTTTTCTGTTGAGTAAATTTATTAAATACTTGGTGGGTCGGCTCAGAATATGTTGATTCATAGACGAATGGCCAAATAAAATAACAGAGTCATTTGCCAGCATTGTTGCAACCAGAATGTCGGAGTTTGACAGTTTTTATCCAAATAATCAACATTATTATAACCATAATGTAGACTCATTTCATAGACGAAAGATCTCTACCTAAAACCAATTTTGTTAATAACTCCAAGATTTTGAAAAAATCAAATTTTTTCTGAAATTGAAGTTTTAATACTTGTCATTTGAAATTTCTTACAAGTTCTGTTGAGAAAATTTATTAAATGTTTGTTGGGTCAGCTCAGAATAAAATTGCTTTAGTGATGTCCATCTATCTATGTGTACGATGTGGGGCCAGCACCTATGCAAAATGCATGAATGGAACGTGTAGTGTCGTTGTTTTTTTAATCTTCTGAATGAAAAATATTAAGTATTAATAGGAAAAAGTGTTAAATATACAGCCAGGAATGTCATAGAGTTGCGTGAATAAATGTCAATTCGCCATAGCAATTTATCATTCCATCCTATTTGAACAAATAATCGTTTGACTCAATTCTAATATTTTTCAGCCTCAAATCAAATAAAACATTCTCGAACGATCGTCATAAAATACATCGAAAATTCAGTCATTGCGACAACCACTCGACAAGAATTTCAAGATGTAATTGAGATAAAAATAATTCACACAGTGATGCCCAACTAAATTTGTCATTTGTCAGTATTGTTGCATCCAAAATGTCGGAGTTGGATATTTTTTATCCGAATCCAATCCGACACTTTGGTTGTAACCTTTGAAAGTATCAACCGCAACTTATGTTCATGTTCGTAACAAGGATTGGCGAAGAATTCTCCAAGTACCTTGTGAGCCTTTGGTGAGCATTTGGTAAACAAAATTGTTGGGGGATTTATTTTCAAGTCATGCAAAGCATACTTCATCGTATCGACGAGATGAAACGATGTATGAAAATAAGAACTAGTTTGTAGAACATATAGAAAAATTAATCTGACAAAATAAATATAAATATACACGCTTATTTTATATATATATATATATATATATATATAAACATATATATATAATATGCGTATATATTTATATATATATACGAATATAATATATTCTAACAAAGAATGAATTACGTGCTTGCAAAGCAATTTTGGACAATGCTGAAACAAAGAATGAGTGTATATATACCTATATATATATATATAGATGTATAACATATATATAGATATATATATTTTTACAATATTCTATAAATTCTACGGAATGTTTGGCGTTAATATGTTTGTAGTTCGTAAATCGAAAAAAACAACTACAAACATATTAACGCCAAACATTCGGTAGAATTCATAGAATATTGTAAAAATTATGATCTATTACCAACATATATATATATATGTGTGTGTGTGTGTGCAGAAATAAACACAGATCCAATAATATTTCAGCAAAATGTTGAAGACTTGCCAAAATTGGTAGTGTGTATCATTTGATAATTTAAGTCAGTCAAGTGAATTGAACTGAATAGAGGAGACAGAGAGTTAAATATTGTTACGAATGTTCTTGTAGGCCTTTTCAACATCCTTCATCGTCACTCCCCTCTTCCCCAGCAGTGAACTATCCAACTCAGATTCTGAACTGGAGGAGCTGTTGCTGGAATCATCAGATGAGGGGTAGTCAGCGAGGCCAGGTAGGTAGCCTACAATGGTCAACTTGTCAGGACAGCAGCCTCTGTGTCCATTGGTGGCTGAAGTAGTGTCTGTTGTGTGGCTTGCCCTATCCAACTTGTCCATTTTGCTGTCCGCCTTGTCTTTTTTGCAGTCACCTGCTGCCAGAACACCTGCAACGTTGCTGTCTTGATTGTTGGCAGCTGTTGAGAGGGATGCTTCATGCTTGTCATCTTTAAATTTTTTGCTCACTGTTGGAGATTCTGTTGATCTGGGTGATTAGTTTTTTTATCCTCTGGATTATTAACTGAACGACAATTCATGAAAATTTTGTATTATCATTGTAATGTTTGATTAAAGAATAGTTATTAATAAAAAACAAACAATACCAAAACTTATTAGATTTACCATAATCATATAGACCCAACTACAAATTTATAAGAGTTTCACATTTAAATATTCTTATACCTTGACCAGATATCGAGTAACATTACATTCCGTTTTTAATACTGTAATACATCATCTGTTTCTTAACGATTTCTTACATCGTAACATTAAAACTCTGTCATCCTCTTCAATCATCATCAATACTAACTTTTTCCTCTTCACAGCCCCAGCAAGCAACTGGCTCTGATATGATGATGACAAAAGTGATGACTTTGCAGCTGCTGACGATGTTGTTGACGATGATGTTGATGACGATGATGTCATAGGTTTACTCGACAGACTTGTTTCCTTGGCAGGTTTTACTTTCTTATATTCCTGTAGTGGTATAACATCAGCAATGCAACCAAACACTAAGACAATTATGATGTCTCAGTGCCTGCCAACAATAATGAGACATTGGAGATATATCATTTGTGATAGTGTAATGTTATTCGTGCAGTAACACAGTAACATCGCTACAACTTTCAAGCATACGTTCAAACGAACATTCAAGTGTAACGAAACGATGAAAAATTATCCATCCATAAAAATTGCATGCTACAAGTACAACGTTACCGATCCTAACCCTTAACTTCAAAGGCGCTATTCAACAGTTAATTTATTTATCTACTCATCTTTTTATATATCCACTAATATGTCAATCAATTTATTCTACAATGACAATTGACAAACCAAAACTAACTGACCAACCAACCAGTCAGCCACCAACCAACCAACCAACCAGTCAGCCAACCGACCAACCAACCGACTTTGAACTCCTGAATAAGATCCTTCTCTTCCTGAATCTTCTCTTGAGCCATCTCCATCTGCCTCTGACTGACTTCTGACAGAAAAGTTGTCTCCTCACTATTCAGACCTCGTATCTGATTCTCTGAGAAGTATAATAAACCATATATACCAATAAATTATTCAACCAATTAAATCACATAAGTTATATATAATTTCAAAAGCGTGAAAAATATACAAAGAGCAGTTAAAATTTCCAACTGAATTTGTGTTCCTCTTCATAATCTTCTTGCTTTTTATCTCTCTGCTCCTTCAGACGATCGTACAAGCATCGATTGTCTATTGGAGGCTCTGGGACTTCTGTTGTGAGCGGATGTGTTTGTGTGTGAGCGTACGTGAAGGCATGTGAGTGTGAGTGCATGCGAATGGGTAAGTGTGTATTGTTTAGTTTAAATTGAGCTGACATGAAACACATAATCACACACACACACACACACACACCAGCTTTACACAACTTACTAAGTGGTTGATCTGGTTTTCGAACCCTCTCCCACTCTTCCTGCCTCTTCTTCTTCTCTTCCTCTATCTGTGACTCACTGACAAAGGTTTTAACCTTCTGTGCCGAGAAACTAGGAGATATTGACATGATTTGAAAACTGTTCGGTTCTTAGCTGGCTGAAAAATTTTAAATCCAATAAGTTAGGATAAACAATATACAATAAAAATAAATTAAAAATAAATAATTAGTCTTTTAAAACAATGTGCTAAGTATGGGTATGTCTTTTTTTATCTTTAAAATAGGTCTTTTTTAAATATAACTAGAAACTTCCTTCATTCAAACATCAACCTTGTGAACTTGTTAAGATGCAGATGTCAACAGAACAAATAAAAGATGTATATTTGTATATTATATAATATATTTATTTAATTAAATTTAATTAAATATAACATTATTAAAATCATTCTACTATCTATAATTATTGTTGTTGATTTAATAGAATAAAAAAAGTAAAATAAATAGATAATATATAAATATATATATTATAAGATTAATTTTAAATTATAAAAACTACATTGGTTATTGCTGAGAGATAGATGAAAGATGATAGTTGACTTTTGAATCAAAGGTTGTAATATATTGTAATGTAATTAAAATTAACTGAGCAATTTTGAAATGAAAATAATAACCTGTCACCAACAGGGTCACCAACATCGCACACACGTAAATAAATAATTAAATAAAAAAAAATTAAAAATGCCCAAGGGAGCTTCAGTCAAAAGTTTGACTCAAGACAAACACAGGACAGACACACGCAAGCAGAGATTTCTTATTTTCTAACCAAGCAAATTTAGTGAGTCGGTTAAAAATCAGTAACAACGGCGGCGAAGTTGAAATGATGAATACGGTGAAGTTGAAGTACTTTAAAAACGGTTCCCACGACCAGCCAAAGCAAGCGATCCTAATTCCTAACTCATTCCAGCTGGAGAGATAGCTTGCCGCAAAATGTAAACACACATTACGTTAGAACACTTGGACGAGAAACCATAATTATTTTCTTTATTAGGTAGAGACAGTTGATTATATGTATTGTTACGAATAGTACATAGAATAAAGGTTAAGATTAACTTTAAATGTTTGAAACTAGTAAACAGCTAAATAAGAAAACTAATTATTAACTATTTAGGTAATTTTTTTATTAATAATTAAATAAATCGCCTTACAAATTCGTTGTTGTTTGTTAATCCAATTTACTTTTCTTTTTCCAAGAATCTAGCTTTAATTCGCAACAATGAATAACTTGGATATCAAAAATTTTAATATTTATATGATATTTGGATATGAATGAGGTAGGAACCTTTATCTTGAACTGAAGAGTGTGTGTCACTATTTTCTTAATCAGTCAGTCAGTCAGTCAGTCAGTCAGTCAGTCAGTCAGTCAGTCAGTCAGTCAGTCAGTCAGTCAGTCAGTCAGTCAGTCAGTCAGTCAGTCAGTCAGTCAGTCAGTCAGTCAGTCAGTCAGTCAGTCAGTCAGTCAGTCAGTCAGTCAGTCAGTCAGTCAGTCAGTCAGTCAGTCAGTCAGTCAGTCAGTCAGTCAATAAATTCAACAGCTCTCTTCAGCGAATTTAGCTAACAGAACTTCGTAATTGATAGAGAAATAGTCAGAGGAAGTAGAGAATTCCAGAAAAAAGAGCCAGAAAAAGCAAATGCAGATTTAACAAAAGACTGTTTAACACGCAGCATGTACGAATACGCGCTAAGCGACACATCACGGTGCATCTTGCCTTGCACAGAGGTTCTTATTGTGGCGTAAGTTTGGTCTGATATGTTAATGTGGTCTGACGTCTGACATTAAACGAAAAAATAATGTGAAAGGTTTGCAAAATGTCTTACACACCTTTTCAAATTTCAGCAAATTCAACAACACACGAACAGCGCATATGAATAGCGCTAAACGACGCATTATACACAAAATATTTGATAGGAGGAAAAACTTTTTTCATATTCGAACCTGGTTACTGCACGCACTAAAACAGAACCAGAAGCCTTTAAACATTAAGCCATCATGTTGTGGTAAGGAAAAAAGGGTAAAGTGTCATGTATTGTATTGTTATAACGAGATGATCTCGTTTCAATTGTATCTGTGCGAAACGCGGATACGTCTTGCGCGTTTGATGCATAAAAAATTTACGTGTTCGTGCGTGTATAGTGTGTGCGATGCTGTCTTTGTGGCTAAAGAAGAATATAAAAATCCAGCACTGTGTTTGTCAGTGCTACATACTGAAAACTGAAGATGGTAGTTATAAAAAAATAAATAGGATGCTTCAGATGATGGCTGATTTGTGGTATGGTACTGAAATGAGCTTACAAGTGTAGTAAATTTTTTGCATGTAACTTAAGAAATTCAAATGTGTAAAACGGATTTACTGATTTAAAATAATGACAAATAAATAAAATGCAATACTGTTTGTTAGCGTGCTCTAAGTCACACAATGACAATGGCCTGAGCATTCAGTAAGTTATAGCTAGTTAGAAATTATGGCGCTTCAAGCGAAAACATATACATTATATAAATTTATAAAATTTTTTTTAAAGAAATAGTAACAATGATAATTAATATGATTATAAATTATAATAATAAATATAACAATAATATCAGTGTGGGTTAGTATTTAAAATGAATAAGAAAGTTATTGAAAATATATCGAGGTAACCTAATGCAATTGAAGTCATTCTTGTCATCATGCGTTTTGAAATATAAATGCCGTACGAAAACAAAACCTCTTTCTCTCTCTCTCTCTCTCTCCTCTCTCTCTCTCTCTCTCTCTCTCTCTCTCTATATATATATATATATATATATATATATATATATATATATATATATATATATATTACCTACTCTTTTTGCTCTGTTTTGCTTTGCAGCTGTACAATTCTTCTTCGTAAAATACAATGACAAATAAACAAGCAAACTAATGAATAAGTGCATAATAATAATTGTTACATAACATATTATGATATAGATGTGTATATATATATATACATATATATATATATATATATATATATATATATATATATATACATATATACATATATAAATTCATATATATATAATATATAAACGATAAACACACCGAACGAAAATTAGGCATGCAAATGTGGTTAAGAAACAATTAGACGAGTGAAGAACTACTTAATGACGCAAGACATTTGTGCCAAACTGTGGACTTTAAAACAAGAGCTAATTTTTAATTACATTTCTGTCAAAATTTGTGATTAATATATAATTTTGTCTGCAAATTTATTCATATTTTATTTTGTTGAAACTTAAATACTCAATAAATCAAATTATTTAAAAAGCAGGTTTGAATTACTGTTTAGGTATTAGTATTACTTGTGGCAACGTCTTAGCATGGATGAAAGCAAAAGCGATGTCACTTCAAATTGCCAAACGTTTGTTAACCTCCGAGCGCAAGGAAGTCGGTTTGGATTTATTTAACTTTCCCAATTTTAAAACTACACAATCACATGTGTAAAACAAATAACAAAATAACTTAACTTATTTCTAAATAAAAAAAAATTAAATTGACTTTTACCGCTGAAGCTGCTTATGAGGAATACAAAAAATTGTATGACGAAATAGATGAGGATTACTTGAAGAATGTTAAGAGAGTGATTGTGTTTGGCTCTGGACCAGGACTCAGTGAGATAACATTTCTGAAAAAGTGAAGTGAATTAATTATCAAATTTTTTTTTTAAACTAAAACCTTTTTCATATTTTGAACAAATTAAATGCACAAGATTGGTGAAAAATTTGACATCCCTGACGGTGGTTGAGAAAGACGAAGAGTGCTTGGAGTTGTTGAAGATGAATGTTAAAAACTATCTTTCGGATGAAATCAACTTCAGTCACTATTTGACTACGGCTCAAAACTGGCAAGGTTCCAGTGAGAATGATGACAAAGCTGATCTCATCCTTATTTTTCATTTTTTATACTTTCTGGAAGAAACTGATCGGAAGGTTTTTGATAAATTATAACTATTTTATCAAAAATTGTTAGTATTTTCATTGTTACTCTATAAACTAAATGTCCTACACAATAATTTAGACATTTTACAGAAATTGTTTTATGAACTGGTTAAAACAGAACGGGAAAATGTTCATAAAGCTCCACAAAGACATGCACGACAGTTCGTAAAATTACGTTCCATTAATGCAATTTAACACAGACATGAAACTATATTCTATCAGTTTATCGAACAATTTTGTCGAACAGTTAAACTTTATTTTCAGCTGACAATTCTTATTTCCTGTACAACATCTACAGAAAAACTGGTAGGAAGTTATACGTAGAATCGCACACGGTGAAGAAAGAGCTGGAAGAAAAAGGCTACATGATTGAGAAGACCTACCACTACAAATGTTTCTACGACCTCAACGCTTCCATCAACTCAATTGCTAAACTCGCCATCATCCACGCAGACCCGCCGTATGAAGATGATACAATCGTCTGGAGAACGTTGAGGAAGTTGTATGGGGGACAGGGAAAGATTTGCACCACGGGAGAACTTTTCAGCGTAACAAACAAATGTTAATAGGGACTGGGTTTTCAGTTCGTTACATTTAGCTCTGGAAGTAAACGATGCTATAATTAATATGTCAAATGTTCATTTTTTCACGGTTTCTATTTCTATATTGAACTTAAGTATGTAAATATTATTGATTAAAAAATATTTTTAAACTATTTTTAATACCTTTATTTCAATCATTTCTTATGAAAAAGAACATTCAAGAATAAATAACTAAATAAGTTATTTAACTTTAAACTTCAATGTTGCGCAGTGTTCCAAAATTGGCTAAACAAATTTTATCTTCGTACTAATTTATTTTGATGGCTTAAAAAGTAATACAGCACAGTGTTAACACAGTGTAAGGTATAAATAGATAAATGAAACGTACGCGCTTCGCTACTGAAATTTGTGAGGCATAACTAAATTGCGTGCACAAACCATTTTAATAAGAAGAGATGAGGGGATGTGTGCTTGAAAAAGTGCGATGCGCGGTTTTTAACGTTTTGTGTTTGTCAAGTTAAGCGAGTTAACGTGGAAATGTCGTTAAATGAAGTTGAACAAACGTTTTTTCTCCAATTTCTTACTAGTTATTCGAAATTAAAACCAATATCAAAATAAATAAATTAATTAATTTAATGTTTGAAATTTTTGCTTCAAATTGTTTCATTATTTTCGCGTTCAACAGTGTTTGTTGAGATATCATCAGATTAGTTTCTGTTTTTGATAACTTGCTTAATAGACCTGTCGCATTCAGAATCTTCTCCCCAAATTTCAGCAACTTCCTTGAACAGTTTCAAAGATTGCCCCTGAAGTTGTGGATAATGGAAAGCCCGACTGCCCCAGTTAAAATTGCTCTTCTCTTCAGAATAAAATCTTCTCAGGACCAATTCGTCATCTTCAACCACGGTTTCTACTTTCTCCATGGACTTATCTGTACACGATCTGTCTAACTCCACTGTATTGCCTGATTGCTAATGATTGTTGAATCATTTAAAAAAAAGTTGAAATTGAGTTTTACTTACAGTTTTATTCAAAAAAGTTTTAACTCTTGATAAAATTTCCAAAAAATTTATTGAACCAACTTTTCTAGTTAATCTTCAATTCAAGGTAGCATCCCTTGCTGCTGCTATCGCATTCCTTGAGGATGGAATCGATAAAACATTCTCCTTTCATTCCCATTGGAGCCTCAACGTGACAAATACTACAGAGAAAGTTTGCCTCTGCATGGGTGGCTGTTTCGATGAAAAGATTTAACAATTTTATCTGGTTGCAAACAGAACAAATAGGCGGGTGTTTTAAAAAATGTGCTTATGTGGAATGATATGCGCCCAAATGTAAAACAAATGTATGATTGATACAAATCAAATTAATTTTTATTGAACTCACAGGCACTTGCCAAAAGTAACAAGATGAGTTTTAGCTTCGCTTCAATCCACCTAAGAAAATCTTAAAAAATTTTCTGAATATATAAAATTCTATTATCTTAATATTGAATATAAATGAAAATTTCAACAAAAATGAATGAAAATTTAAATATTTCTAACTTGTCTACCAAGAGTGCATGCAATATATTTTTTGAACGCAGTTTTTGAATTGTATTTATAGATTTTCTCTACCATGGCATATATTCGCTCACCTATTCCTTTTCTAAAACTCACTGAAATTTACATAGGTACATACATTTTATAGGACGAATGAATACGTAAATGCCATAATTTTAGAATGAAAGCTATATATCGGAGACAATATCTCTGGTTATCATGATAAAATTTCAAAGTCGCGTTTTATCCAATATTCGTGCCGGTTCTCGCCGATATCGCCTGTCGAATCGCTCGACTTGTTTTCGACTTATTTCGATATCCAAAACCGACTTAAATGGCCGATCCTGTTGCGAATGATTTTAGCGATTGTAAGGAGTTGTACGTTCAAATTGAAAAGAAAGAAGTTGGAGACTTGAAAGAAAATTTTAAGAAAGGTAGTGGTAAGTTACTGTGGCCTGAAAGTGCTTACCAACCCGTCATAACTGTCAGCTGCAAGAAAATTTTGGCTGAACTTCACAAGGAAAGATTTTGTTCTGGTAGTAAATACAATTTATTAATTATTTTATCATAATTTAAATTTAATCTATTTAGACTGACAATTGCAATAGTTTTAATGTCACATATATAATTAAATAAAATATATGAATAAATTTTAAATGTGAATCTAATAATTTTCCAATTTTTAATCAAAATTTAAATTTTAATTTTTCAAATAATTAATGAATTGAATAATATTTGAAAATTTTTTAGAGTTTAGTTTACTGGTGCTTTATTAAATATAAATATGCAAATAGTATTTACAATATTTTTTTTTAATTTTGACTTTTGAGGAACAAAAGGTCGTTGCATAAAATACAAAGATAAATGGTTCAGTCCCCAAGAGTTTGAGTTTGAATGTGGCATTCATGGTCGCAAATGGAAATCAACAATTAAATATAGCGGTCAGAGTCTTGCAAGTCTTTTCAGAGATAATATATTACCATTGCATAATCCATCATGCAGTTGCTCGTTGAAGTGGAAAGAGTCCACTGATGTAAGTGATCAGATGCATTCAGACTGGTGTCAGTTTTTCTTCTTAATTGGTTTTCATTCAAGTTAATATTTGTTGAATTATTTTCATTTTCTTTTAATTTAGTTAGATTGTATTGTCTAGTTGTTGTCTCAAATCATGTTGATTTCTTAGGTTTCTCCATTATCTCAACCGATGCTAAAGAAGAGAAAATGCACGAACAGTTTCAAAGTGGAACCTAGTAAAAAGAAATCATGGAGCATGCCAGCTGCTCCAGTGAATGAATACTTGATAGTGGAACGAGACAACAATGATGATGTTGTGGTGGAGGAAGAAGATGAGAAGTTAATTGAATGTGGTGAAGATGAGGAGGATGATATCAATGTTAAATGTCATGCAAAAAGTAAACTTCACTTATTTTAATATAAAATTATTTACTGATTTGTAGTACTTTGATTCTAATTCTTTAATTAATAAGACACTTCTGTAATTTTTATTTTAAATTGTTTTCACTGCAAATTTATTACACGACTGGTTTCATTTACTTCAAAATAGACTTCCATAGACAAAATCAACCGGCCTTCACAAAAATAACCATGAAATCGAGTCACTCTGCCATTGTGAATACAACCACAAAGCCTACAACTGAGAATCCTAGACAAAAAACTTGCATTACAGATAGGGTAAATTCCTATTCAGTAACTGTTCTGAATTGAAATTTTTGTTGTAGTCTTATTAGATTGTCTAGCATTTTATGCCTAGCTGGCAAAAACAAGATTATTAGAAACATGGTTTCAAGTGTAAGTGTATGAAACTTGCTTCTCTTCTCTATGAGGTGTTATCAACTTTTAGCAACTTAAGTATCTTTGAAGCGGTTTAGCTTATGACACCTTATAAATGTTTTTTTGTAATTATTAAAACTTTATAGAATAATTTATAGTTATTTTAGCAACAAATGTTGTAAATTGTTGTAAATAACATTCTACTTACAACCATTTTAACACATATTTACAAAACAGTTGATAGCAATCTTCATGAGTCGATTGGATGAGTTGAAAGAACTCATGGAAGAGATCAGAGACTCACAGGAACTCGACGTGAATGAGCTGAAAAACCGACTGACAAAACAAAAAAATCAGGTGGTTATGACGTTCTGTGTTCTTTGTATGTTACCTCACCTTCATGGTAATACGCGTGAATTAATGCATCAGATGCATTGCATGCGGTGAGCAGAGATCCCTCTTTGCATTTTAACCCATTACGCAGTTGTGTCACCCACATTTTTTCTTATCTCCAGGAAAGAGAAGAATTGAATGACGGATTAAAACATTTTTATTTTGGATACTTTTTTTATATAAATTAATTTAGTCAACAGTTTTTAGTTGCTCATTTCCTAATACTTTCGTTTCGTACAATTAATAATTTAAAGACATTACTAGTTTTAAATTAATTATTAATTCAGAAACGTTATTAATTCTCTAGGGCATTTATTTCCTACAACTACAAATTCAAAGACGTTATTATTTTCAAATCAGGAATTAAGAGAGCTGGAGTCACACCTCTTACAAACGATGAACTCTCGACTGGCGCAGCAGAAGAAACTGCATGACATCCAACTCCAGGAACTCCTCATCCAATCGAGACTACTCAGGACCAAACAAAACAAACCCAACAACATTAACAGCAGCAACACATCTCCTAATAACAAGAGAAAGAGTATCGAGTTCAATCCAAACAATACAGATGATTCCAGCGAAGGGGATGCTGTCCAGTTTAGTGACAAGAAGAAAAAAATGAAGTGCATTTCAGTCTGAAGAGTTTTAGGATGTTGATCTTTATTTTGTTTAAATACAAACTCGAAGTACACGCACAAACATACACATTAACTCTTATTACTCTTTTTTCAGTTTTTCATAGCAGATTTCCACCGTTCTCAAAGTCATTCTTTCCCTAAGATAACTTTAACCTAAATTTGTGCATTTTTTCACGTTGTAACTACTTGCCTAGTTATACGATGGGGCATATTTAGTCTGAAGTCCGTTGATGAAAAAAAACCTGATCATTTAACAAATGCCTTCATATCTGAATACTACATATTTGAATAATTATATTTTTTACTTGATAGATTTTTTTATGATTCAAAGGTTTTTTTAGAACATTCTTTAAGCTGATAATAAATTAATAAATTTAATTAGCACCTCCGATAAATTTTTTTTCGATTTGATTTATTTTCACTATGAAATGGATTGAGATATGCCCAAAGGAATAAAACTCGAAAAATTTCTTTTTTGATTTAAGTTTTAATTAATATCGTGCTAAAAATGTAGACAATGTCAGGTGAGAAAAAAAAACTCTTAATTTGTATCAGTGACTGCAGTGGTGGTGGCGTTTTGGGATGGTGTGGGGTGTTTTTAGCACCTCAGTCATTGTAGTCCTCATCATCCCTTAGCGTCAGGTCGACCTTGTTGTAGACCGTGGGGTTGGTGCCCCGCAGACCCGCCAGGAAGATTTGAGGTCGGGGAACGTTCGAACCTGCGTCCATTTTCGTCTGCGTTTCTGTCGTTCTGTTACGTCGTTGGGCGCGTGACCAAATAAGTTTTTGATAAATTTGAATGTTTATACGTAGATTAAGATAAATTATGTGGTGGTAATTCATTAAGTTCAGTTTTTGAATAGAAGATGCGATGTACACAGAGAGACATGAAAAAAATTTTAAAAGGTTAATTTCGTGTGAAATTTGAAAAAAGTTTAAATCTTTATTAGTATGAACAAACTTCTTCCTGTAGACTTGCGTGAAGATGTCCCTCCTCATGTTACTCATCTTCGTTTGGGTCGATTTCGATCTTTTGTTACGTAGGTTGGCCTGGTGAGGTTCAAAATCAAAAACGATTTAATAACAAATTGATGAATCTTTCTTAGAAACCTGTAGGTAAGAAACCTGACACCTAATTCGCATCAAAGTTCTATTTTACAACACCAAAGTTAATTTTTACAACGTCAAAGTTAATCTTGACAAAGTCAATATTTCCCTATATATACAACAAGGAGCACTGACGATGATTCATTCGGAATCTAAATATGGCCTTATTTGCAGCATGAATTCGAAAAATAAGTTTATTTTGAATTTTAATAAACTGAACGTTCACCAAAAAACTTTAGTGAGAAAAATCGAAAAAACGAACTACAAACATATTAACGCCAAACATTCGGTAGAATTTATAGAATATTGTAAAAATATATATATATATACACGCGATGATTTAAACGGTAGATTTGACCAACCAGCCTGATAGCCATCCTCCTCATCTGCCACTCATTCCATTCGTACGTCCGGACGATGTTGCTCTCGCAGAAGTGGGTGTCAGTTTGCGAGGCACATTCGGACTTCAAGAGAGGCTGCTCTAACTCATTCTGCTCCTCATTTGCCTTCTGTTTGTGCAGTTGAATACGTGGCGATGAGGAGTTCTGTGACGACATACTCAGTTCAATGGAGATATGATGTCATATGTATATATATATTAGTTGCAGGCCTTTTGCTTTTCGTTGCACGTTGCAAACCGTTCCAATAATAAGAATATTTGTAAAAAAGTTTCAAGAAATATAATAATAATAAATATAATTAAAAGAAAACTTTCCCTAATAAAACAAACTGCAACTCAGAATTATGTAACATCGAACCAATGAAACTTAATAAAGATCAGAACATAATCGGAATTGATTTTTTAACTGCCATCTCTTTACAAAAAAAACTCCATGAGATGTAGCAGCGCAACTCTCAGTTAGAAAAATAATGCATGAATAAGATGAACGCACAGCTAATCCAGCTTACAAAAATAATTTCCCGTTGCTAAAATCATCGTAAAAATGGTCATCATCAGGTCTGTCGCCCAGCATCACAATCAAAATTATCTTGGTCACCTGTTCATAAGGTAGAAGTGACGTGAATAGGTGATAAAGTTCAAGCAGATGGATGAGTTCAGGGTTCGAGCAGGCCAACTGGGCCACACCTTTCAAATAGCTGCGTTAATGTTAACGATGACTGATAACGTAACGTAATGACGAAGTAAAAATATGAAAAGTAAACTTTAATAGACTCACCGGCAAACAAAAACCAATAAGAAACAAACTAACGAACGAACAAATAAACGAGCGAACATGCAAACGAACGAACACTTGAAAAGCATCGATAAACATAATAAAACAAAGTAGACCAGCATCAGCCACCTGACTGGGTCGCTAACGAAGTCAACAGCAGCCCTGTTAGATGTGAAGGCGTAACAACATTTCTTGTAGTATATTATCCCCAGGTTCAAGTTGCCTGTTTCCACAGTTCGATCATTTAATCATTTATTTAATTAATAATTTTTTTTTAATTCCATTTATTCACAAAAAAGTGAAAAAGTCAGCCTAGCAATAAATGCTTATCTAGGGTTGACTCCCATAAAACAAGAAATAACATAGTAAGTAATAAAAAAAAATAAAAAAAAACACAATAACATAAATGAGTAAATAAATGTCTTTTAAATTCTTCAATGTTCTTAAATTTTCATGAATAAACTTAGAAATAAAACATCGATACATTTAAACTTAAAAAATGAATAAAATTAAGAATAAAATATTAATACATTTAACTTAAACAATTCAAAAATGTTCTCAACTTCTTTACTTCTTTTTAAATTCTGTTAAATTCTATTAGATTATTTATTATTTTATTTAATTATTTAACATAATTATTTAGTCATTCAGTCAGCAAGCATTAAGCATGTATACCTACCCAATCGTAATCAAGTTTTGTAGGTGCGTGTTAGTGTGCATGAAAATGTGATGTGTGGCATTCTTACGATCTGAAGTAACTCAACGTCGGCCATTTTGATGACAATAATGAGAATGATCAAATAAATAAATAAATATTTATATTAAATGGATAAATATGATGTAGAGATAAGAAAAAATATAGTTGAAAAAAAGAAACATACAACTTATGACAATGACATTTAGTGATGGCCATAACAATAACATTGAAAGTTGTGATGAAAAGATTAATTAGAATAGCAACAGAGCATGATAACATTAATTGCTTTACAACAACTATAACGTTATGAGAAATAAACAGACCTGGCACGAGCAAGATATCTCTATTGACCAGCGTCCAACAACAGTAGCCCTGTTTGTTTTGTTTTAATACAACTAGATTCAACGAAAACTTATATTATTCTCATCATCATAACGCAGTTCGCAAAAACGAAGAGTTGATTTATGAATGATTTCTTCCTTCCTTCGTTAGAAATCATCCTTATCATGGTCACCACCATTATCAACATCACTATCCTCCTCCTCCTCATCATCATCATAATCATCATCGTCGTCATAATCATCATCACCGTCATCACCCTGAACTGGAGAGGCAGCCTCCAGTAGTTGCTGGTTGTTTCCGGAAAGAGGATCATGACGTCATCAGTCTTGTTGATGTCGTGAATGCGTTTCAGCTGCATGTCGAAGCCTCTGGTGATGATGACGATGGCCACGAAGAAGAAGATGATGGTGGTGACGTTGATAACGATGTCGATAAAAATGATAACATCACTAGGTTATACAATAATATGATAATAATAATATAGTAATATCACAAATCGTGAAACGGACGGACAGAAACACAGAAAGTGTGCATCCATGCAACACTCGATGACTGAACTACGATACAAAAATGTATGTCAAACACACACACACACAAACACGCACGCATACACACACCACAAACACACACACCAGCTAGAGTATTATACCAAATACCAAAAAGTACTAATGTATTAGATAAAATACATGCCCCTCCAAAAACCATCTCCAATGTTCCCACCCACCCACCTACCTACCTACCTACCTACCTACCTACCTACCTACCTACCTACCTACCTACCTACCTACCTACCTACCTACCTACCTACCTATGATAGAGGTATGGAGTCTTGGTCAGTTTCAGGCTATCCTCTCTTTTGTAGCTTGCATATTTTTCCATCTCCTCCGATCTTATCAACTCGTCACGAAACTTTTCAGTGAAAGTTAATAATGATAGTACATATATATATATATATATATATATATATATATATATATATATATATGCAATCATAACTCTTTATAACGAACTTCTATACAACGAAAATCGAACGAACAATGTTTATCAAAATAAAAAGAAGTATCTCCGACCAGCAAATATTCTATGAGATGATATGAGCGGTGCTTTTGTTGCACTCCTTTGATTTCCTAGAGCCGTGTTTATTGTTTCTTGTTCTAGTATTCTTGTATATTTTTGCATATTCTAACTTCAATTAACTTTACTGGAATCTGAATCATTGTTGCATAGATCATAGAATAAATTTCACTTTAAAAATTTTTCTCATCTACAGTTATTGCATGGTTTCACCCTTGTTGTCCTTGATATTGCTGGCGAAGGTTTTTTTTCAATAATATAGAGCTGATAAACACCTTCCAAGCAATATAGAAGTTTTTTCCAAACAAATTTTTCTTTTAAAATTGCACATGGCACACCCAACTGAATTTTTAAATTCTTTCAATATATTTCACAGTTTTCTGGAATATTTCGAAGAGAGAAATGACAAAAGTTCATAAGTGAAAAATAGCCAGGTAGTACCTGAGTGAACTGGTGGAGATCATTGAAGATGCCAATGATGAGGTGCATGTACTTCAACTCCATCATCAACATACTCCATATTGTTGACAATTTTGTAAACTGGGGCTGTAGTATTTTGTGATGTTGTTGGTGTTGTTGTTGTTGATGATGATGATGATGTTGTTGTTGTTGTTGTTGTTGTTGATTTTTGTTGATGTTGTCGATGTAGTTGTTGTTGAAGTAGTTGTCAATGTTGTTGGTAATGTTGTTGTTGTTGACGTTGAAATCAGGTGGAAAACAACATCTTTAACAATGTTTGCAACAACAAAAAAACGATGAAAGGTACGCAGCAACATCTATAAATAGACAGTACACCATTGTATAATTTGAATGAAACAAAAACAAAACAAAACAAACAACCAAAATGACTTGTAGTGCTACTAACAAATATTCGCAAAGCAGTCACGACTGTCTTACTGACGGAGTTCTTTATCGACTTGATTACGTGAGCCAGGCTCGTCACTTCTTTGTCCACCATTTTTGCTGCGTTTGCCACCAGTTTCTGAGTCGTCATCATCATCATCATTATCATAATCATCATCATTATCTTAATCATCATCATCATCATCATTGCCCTCATATCATTATCACGACAGTCACAACCATTCCTCATCAGCAGCTTCGTCATTATCATCATTATCACCATCACCGTCATCATCGTCTTCATTATCAACACTTCAAGCATCATCATCATCATCCTTATTCCCATCATCATCATCATTTCTTCTCATCATCACAATCATCATCATCAGAATCACCATCATCATTCATTCACCACCATCATCATTACAACAGATAATTATCATGTGAGGAACCTTCATAAGTTTCAAGTAGAGCACGTGTTGGCAACAGTTGATGAGGCATTGCTTGGCGTTGCTGTTCATCAGATCGGGCAGGTCTCTCACGGTGGCTCTGTAGTACTCCAACATTTCTGTGGTTGTTGTTGTTGCGTGGTTGCTGTTGCAATTGCGTGGTTATTGCTGTTGTGTTGTTGTTGAGCAATTGTTGTGCTGAGCTGAAAGCTGTGCTCGAAATGGCATCTCAAAAAAATTAAATTTTGCCGCGTTTGTTAATTCCACTGCATAGTGGTGAAGTCGACGACGACGATGATGATGATAAATAGTGAGAACGATGCCGTCAAAAAAGACAATCACTATGAAAATTGTCCATCCATTCATTCATTAATTCATAGATTCATCCATCCACACATTCATCAATCCATCCATCCACCAACCTAAATTATCGGTCAATAAAGATGGAAAACAATCACCAAAAAATAAAAATCGAAAAATAGGACTACTGGGCAATAAGAATATTTTGCCGCAAGGAACCTGATAGGAACTCCAGTTTGGACTGCACCTCTGATAGCTTCTCATCAACGAGCAGAGAGATGTTTGGGATTAGATTGTTCAGCGTTTTGCCAACTGCGTGTAAAAATCACCAGTCGTATCATTCTAAACAATTAATTATGCGTTATTAATATTTAACGGTTGTAATCCAGTCTATAATTTAATTGTTTATATATTTATGTGCAAATCTTTCTGTTCGTCTGTACGTCTTTAATGTATATGTATATGTAGGTCTTTAGTGTTCTATTGATTCGTCAATCCATCCATCCATCCATCCATCCATCCATCCATCCATCCATCCATCCATCCATCCATCCATCCATCCATCCATCCATCCATCCATCCATCCATCCATCCATCCATCCATCCATCCATCCATCCATCCATCCATCCATCCATCCATCCATCCATCCATCCATCCATCCATCCATCCATCCATCCATCCATCCATCCATCCATCCATCCATCCATCCATCCATCCATCCATCCATCCATCCACCCATCTATCCATTCATTAATTAATCCATCCATCCATCCACACATTCATTCATCTATCGATCCATCTATCCATCCTTCCACTCATCCATCCATTCAAACAATCAACCTTCCCAACAATCATCCATCCATCCATCAATCCGACCATCCACGAACCATCTTCAATATTCTCCCCTCCCTTGCCAGACTCCTTATTGAAGAGGACCACACCAGCCACGATCCAGGTGAGCTCCATCAGCTGTTTAGCCCTCTTCGACTTGGAGAATTTCAGGAAACATTGGATCTCTGAGATGGGCATGACGCTGGAGAGGGCAGCTGTCATATGGTGTAATGGTGTCACGTGATGTTGTGGTCACGTGGTGTGAAGGGTGCCACGTGATGTTGTTGTCACGTGGTGTGAAGGGTGTCACGTGATGTTGTGATTACGTGATGTGAAGGGTGCCACGTAATGTTTTGATCACGTGGTGTAAAGGTGTCGCGTGCTGATTTGGCCATGTTACGTGAAAAGATAAAAATCTAATACCACTAAAACTCAATAATGAAACGTTCATTGATTTTTCAAGTTAAGTTGTGTAGTGGTGTGTTAAGCTGTGTTGTGTTCTAACAATGTTGACAAGTAAAATGTTTGCAAACTCACAGCCAGCCAATCAACCAGCCAACCTACCAACCAGCCAACCTACCAACCAGCCAACCAACCAACCAACCAACCAACAAACCAACCAACAAACTAATTAACCAACCAGAAAACTCTTTGATGGAATCGCTATTCGACATGCAACCGAGTTCAGACTTGTACATTATAAATCTGTCGGCATACATTTAGCTTAATTACAAATTCAACAAAATAAATATAGAGATGCATAATAATGTCAACAACAATGCAGGTATCAAAACCTAATACTGTAATTAAAAAATCGAAAATCGGTGAAACTAACGAAAAAAAAATCGATTCGTTGAAACAACAACCAACTAACATGACAGCAAAGAGCAAACAAAACATTTCAATGAAAAATATTTTATTTGTAAAACTATGTTATGTTTGCCAGTTAGTTAAAATGTTTGGAAAACATATAAAATGTTCTGAAACTAGATATCATGTTATATCAGTTGTAATGTTATATTTTTGTAGCGGCTAAGGTAGCAGCCCCACTTGGCTTCCCGTAAATCTGACCCTGAAGACAAACTCAAACATAAATCTATTCGAAAAAAAGCAACAAATAACTAATCTAGTAATTACAACAAGCTAACAAACTGACAAATAGCATAGAGAAAGACCAAAATCCAATGAACCGACCAACTGACCGACTGACCTAATAATCTTCTTGTAGAGGCACTCCTGCTCTTTGCAGCCCTCCACGTCACGACTTATGATGTCCTCCAACTTTTTTGACAACTGGCCATCGAGGGCCGCTATGTCCTCCTTTTCAAATGTCTCTGTGGTGTTTGTGGTGTGGATGAGATATCTCAAAATAGCGATTTGGTATTTTACCGTGTTCTTCGTAACGGCAATAGTCTCAGGTTATTACGTGAAAATGAATTACGTGAGTATTTGTGCATTTCTATATACGTACGTATGTTTATGTTTGTATGAGAATGCATGGGTATGTTCATGTATATGTATGCATATACACGTGCGTTAGTTTGGCGTTTAGTTTCAGTTTAGTTTGATAAAATGTTGGAGAATATTTTTTTTTGGTAATTTTTGTTTTTGTATTTTTATGCTGTAGTTCAGTGGCACCCAAAATTAATATTTTGTATAGAAAACCCGAATAACTCGAAAACGAACCCCTGTCTACAAAGTTTTCGTCGAAGTAAATTTGCATCTTGATAGTATCCATTGATGGTTCGTCGTTTTTTGTCAACTTCTCCACGCATAACTGGTTGGAAAGTTGAGATTATGTATCTACTTATTCCTCAGTAGAATGCATTCTTATGTAATATTTTATAACACAAGCAAAGCAAAACAGCATTGGCATATTTTGTGTTTTTATATTTGCCACACCGTAATAACCGTTATATATGTAAAAATAAATAAAAAATAAAAAAAAAACGAAAATGAGCTAAATTTCAGTCATATTTTATTATTTTGCGTTGATTTTGGTAGGTTTTGTTTAAATAAATAAAATATTTGAATCTTTAAAAATTTGAAATAATGTAGCAAATATAAAAAGCTCTGATAGATCAGAAATCACTTGAGTCAGTTTGTCCAAGTTCTCTTTGGTTGTTGGGTTGTTGATGTTGAAACCGTTTTTTGGGTGCAACAGGACTGCCTTAATCTATATAATATTTATGTATATATATATTAATAGGTTTTTATTCATAAAGAACTTATTCGTTAATATATCGGAATTTAAAATTTTTTTGGTGTAGGATATATATATATAGTAAATCCTTTTTATTGATAAGCCAGATTTACGGTTTTATTTTGTTACGGCAAAGAAAATGATCATAAGTTCATAAGGCATAAGAGGTGAACATGGAAATTATAAATTATTTTTCATTATAAATTAATTAAATTAATCAATTAAAAAAACCCACAATGAAGGAAGCTAAAGATTCAGAAACAGCTTTCCCTTTCAGATGACATTCCTGACAGATTTCCCTAACCACATTTTTTATTAAATTCTCTTTCTCTATTTCTGACATTTCAAAACTTTTAGATCAGCGTACAACTAACTAAAACAACAGCAATAACGACAACACTATTATAAATTATTATAAGATAATTGTATTCGTATTGTTATATAATATATATTGTATCTTCTTAAACTTTTAAATTATTATGTATTATCATATGATAATTAAGCCCATTATTATTTCATTACTTGTCAAACATTTCAAAATAAAAAAGATAATTTAATTTATATCCCAAATCATTACTAATTTTCTCGCAAACGAAAACAATTATATATAATTAAAATTAAAAAGTCAAGCATTTAAAAAAACGTACGAAAACAAACGGTCGCCGTAGCAACCATTAGCAGCAGCATAGAATCGCGAACATAGAAAACGTAGCAAGAACGTGCTACGAAGTTATGAAGGCAAGAATTCGGCAGCATTGTGCGAAGCATAACATTTCAATAATATAATAGGTAGGCTTCTTTTGTCTCTCATTCGATAAGCCTGTAATTCAAAAAGTTGAATAATCTTTCAATAGTAGTAGATCTCATATTTTGATCTGTTATTGGGTTTCAAATGCTTTAAATAACGGAAAAGTTAAATTGTATATTGCTGAGTGATTTTAAAAAAGTTTTATCCGCAATATTTTCGTTTGGTAATTCTATGAAAAACCTACTAGTTTGATTTGGTTTATGCTTCTTATAAATTACATGAAGCGCCTGTAAGACTGGTTTGATCAGGTTTGAGAATGAATGATTTTCTTAGAAAGAGGCAACGAGTTACTTAGAACACATATTCTGACAGAAGGTAGTTGTTTTCCCATAGATTTGAAAAAATCTCAAATTCTCATTTGAAATTCATCAAATTAAACATTTTTCATAGTAAACTTAGTTAGTTTAAACTCAGTAAGCTTAAACGCAATCATTTGTCTAAATTTTTAGCCAACTTTTATTTTTTGTATATTGTATTTATTTGTTATTAATGTTATTACAACATTGAAATTCAACTACCAATATTTTCTTCAATATTACTTTTTGTAATCTTTCTAATTTATTTCCTAAGTACTTATAAACTAATTGATTGATTGATTGAAACGCACTTTCCACTGCTGTAATTCAATTTTGTTAATTTCCATTTCAGATGAGAGATGAACAGTTAGTTGTAAAACCTATTGTAGATAGATAACTTTGATACTTAACACAAAATGCAATTCATCAGAGATACAGGTACATTGTATCTTTTGGTTTTTACTTTATTTTGTTCAGTGCTGGGAAGCACGAACGACAGTGCAATATTCGATTTACATGAAATTGGTCACATCACGGGATTCAAAGTTGAGTCCTCTGAAGTCAAAAGGTACGGAGAGGAAGATGACATCGTAGAATTCAGAGCACAAATATTTTCAGATGCCGAAGTAAAAATAAGATTATTTGGTTGCAATTTGAAAAATAACAGCATGCTCTCTTTCACGACAATGAGAGGGAAAAAAGATGAAGATTGCACGGAACTGAGGTCTACAGACGTCTTCTCATTATCTCTTTCAGGCATTGCAGCAACATCCGCAACTGCAGTCATAAATCTTCCGATTCGTGCAAACATTCATTCTGAAGTGTATTATTTTTGTCTCAAGGAACTTCCCTCGCCAAAACTTCTCACCAACAGTAGCATCGACTTGAGACAGATTTATATCTTCCGACATCAAGGCAGCGACGAATGGTTGCAGATAATATCGATCGAACGACCCACCAAGTCTCACATACTACCCTTCTGGCTGCAGATCATATCCGTCATCTGCCTTCTCATCTTCTCCGGACTGTTCAGCGGTTTGAATTTGGGCCTGATGGCTCTCGACGTCACTGAATTAGACATCCTCATCAACTCAGGAACCAAACAAGAGAAAAAATACGCCAGGGCTATTTTGCCGCTGAGAAAAAAAGGTTTATAAAAATAAATAACTAAAAATTATTTTATAAAATTATGAAATGAAAACGAACTTTTTAACTTGTTTTGACAAGGAAACTTTTTGTTGTGTACCATACTGTTGGGAAATGTGTTGGTGAACAACACGTTGACGATTCTACTGGACGATTTGACGGGCAGTGGATTGGTGGCCATCTTGGGGTCAACTGTGGCCATCGTTGTCTTCGGAGAGATCATTCCGCAAGCTATATGTTCGAGATATGGATTGATGGTTGTGCTACGTTTTGTAAACTAGTCAATATGTTTCTAGAATTGTTAAATAATTTCAATAAAAAATTTATTTCAGATAGGCGCGAAAACAATTTGGTTCACGAAATTTTTCACCATCCTTACCTTCCCTCTGTCTTATCCAATCAGTTTGATCCTTGACTGTATTCTCGGCAAAGAAATAGGGTACGTCTTCAATAGAGACAGGTTGAGAGAACTGATCAGAGTGACTGAAGATAAGATTGATTTGGAGAGAGACGAGCTAAAAATCATATCGGGCGCTTTGGATCTGTCGAAAAAAACAATTGCTGACGTCATGACGAGGATTGATGTGAGTTTGTGTGTGCTAGGCGTGGTTTTGATGTTGGTATAAGTTTATTTATTTGTGTTAAACATCATTTTGGTGTGGATGAATAATTAAGAGCTTGAACCAATTAAAACTGATTTCATGCAATTGATGACTTCAAATTAATTTATTTAAGTTATTAAGTATCAAAATGGAAAACATCATTGTGAAGAAGTAGTAAAATCGCTTAGTTTTAGTATAAATGTCCTTCATCCACCGCAAGGTTTTCACCAAGTAGTGTGCTACAACTTTTAATTTTTATTAATTTTATAAAGGAAAAATATTTCTCAAATATCAGTTACAGTTACTGAGTATATAAAAGTTTACAGTAACTGAATTTATTGAGGATTGAAAATATATTTGTAGAATTATTTAAGTTTTGCGATATAAACAGACTTCCAGTTTGCGTGAAAAAACGCATCACGTACACTTCAATATTGATCTGAATATATCATCATTCAACTAAATTATTAATTTTTGTAATATTTGAAAAACATTAACAAAAATTTAATTTTGTACCCTCCGAATTGCAGGATGTATACATGATAGAGGAGAACAGTTTACTGAACTTTGAAACTCTCAACCAAATCATTTGCTCCGGCTACTCACGGATACCAGTGTACAGTGGGAGCCGCCACAACATCGTCGCCATCTTTAACGTTCGGGATCTGGCATTCGTTGATCCGGACGACTGCACGCCACTGAAGACGATCCTCTCCTTCTACAAACACCCACTCCATTTCTGTTCCATCGACACCAGATTGGACGTTATACTTCAAGAGTTTAAGAAAGGTTTGTTGGGCCATACATACATACATTGTAATGTCATTAACGAACATTCTTTATGAATTCAACTAATAATTTCAAGTCAGCTTTTGCGTTTTGTTGGCTTGCAAAACTTTCTGTAGTGGAATTTAAAATGTTCGGGCTATCAGGTTTTTATTGCTTGAGAAAACTGATGAAGTTTGTGAAGATCATGTTTTATGAATATCGTTGCGTAATGAATGTGACTTATGATAATGGACCGCATACAAAAGTGCCTTCTCGAAACATCTTGCGACAGTATGCAGCAGTAGGTTCCTTGATTATTTTCGACGCAAATAAATCCTACTAAGTGGAATGCTGCTGTCAGATGTTATTAAATTTACAGAAAAAGTTTAATGACCTTCTGTTCTTTTATTTTGACTCCTAGTAACATTTTCAAACGAACTTTGTGAAATGAAGATTATTAATTCTCGAACGTTTGTACGTCATCGTCCCAGGAATAGCCATTGAAAGTAATTGAGCTGGTTCTTCTAACTTATTTCAAAACCTTCTTTCTACACTGAACTTATTACCGCATTAGTGTACTGTTTGTAATTGTTTTAATCATTCAAACATTTTGTTTTGGTTGAAATAGATTAAGTTTTGTTTAGTGTAGGCTCATATCAGGCGACCTTAAGAAGTTTTGAAGAGATGTTTTCCTCTAGCAATAGTAATTTTAACAGAAAATATTTACTGCTTTTTAATATTTGAATCAAATTTTGAACCAAAAGTATTGGTAGGAAACATATAAATACTAGTCGATCAGTCTTCGTGTGTATAACACTGGCTCAACCCATGAGCATGTAAAATGCTCAGAATTTAAAATAAAATTTAAGTGGTCTCAACATTTTTGCTCCATCGTTTGTCATCATTTCATTGCTTCGTTTTTGTTGACACATCTTGTGGCTAATTACAATGAAAATTTTTATTCTCTTCAAATTATTTTTTAAAATGCTAGAAATTAAACTGATTGCACTGTGTAGCGGAATGAGCAGAAATATATTTTGAAGATTGTTGGCGGCAAAATTGCATGCTGGCAGGTGGCCTTATCAATTGGAAATGAAATATGCAATCCAGATTTTTAATCTCGGCGTGAGTGGAGTGTTGTACTTAAAATTATTCTATTAGAAAATATTTTACATATTCACCAAAAAAAAATTTTTTAATTTCTTTTTCGTCATTTTGAACTCAAACTGCTTCATTCACACTCTTTTCTGAAGTCTATTTGAGAATTTATCATGTGACAACGTGTTTGTTTGTTGTTTACAAGTTCGCTCGTTCATTCGTTCACTTTCGTTCGATCGTTCGTTTGATCGTTTGGTTGTTAGTTGCTAGAGCCATTCATTAGTTTTAACTTTTAAATAACTGTTTATACAACTATTCAGCAATTTATTTTCTAGCTCGTGGTCTGTTTGTCACAGGCTCTGCGATCCAGTGTGGTCTTTTAATTCTCAACTCTTGTATGAATCGTTTCATTGTTAACGTAGAATAAATTCACTGCTAGCTAGTGTATTGAAATTTGTTATGCACGCTACAAGTTAATCTGATTTTGAAATACTGCTTGGATTTAATTTTTACGGCATGTTAATTTATTTGAATTTAAAATTGAGATGGCAACCAACAAATCGCTGTGTTTATTATAACTTATTGCTTATGAATTCCTCATGATCTATTTATATTTTCATATAAATCACGTTTTTTTTTATCTGAAATGTGATTTATGAAATTTTGAACAACATTTTTATTTCAATTAGAATTTTTTATTACATTTTTAATCCCTTTAATACCTTTGAAAATATTTTGACAAAACATTGAGTATGTTTTAATTCTATTTTTTTTTCATTTTGACATTTTACCAAAATTACGACAAAGATTTTATGCAGTGGAAAGTCTTTTGAAAATTGTTTCCTTTCAACCATTGGTCTCCATTGTTTATGGATGTTGGTCGTTGACCATCCACACTAATTTTTTCAATTTTCCACTCATTTTCTAAAAAGTATTTAACTTATTTTAAACTATTGGGAATCATATTATTATTATTATCATCATATGTGCAAAAATCAAATGTATGAATTCAATTAAATATGAAAAACTTGAATAAATTAAAATAATTCAACGTTAATTTCAAGGTAATTCCCATATATCTATTGTCCAAAAAACCAAACCGAATCGTCACTGTACGAATAACGGAGACAGCAAGACGAACGCTTCCCAGAACAACCACCACAAAAAACTTTCAAAGGCAGAAGACCTGAGGGCTAAGTTGATTTGCAAATGCAAACAACGACGCAACCGCAACAGCAGCATCAACAGCAATGCCAGCGAATCACCAAGCAACGCATCAACAATCTCTAACCACATTAACACTAACGTCAACAACAACAACAACAACATCCACGACAACAACAACAACAACAATAACAGCAACAACATTGAGAAAACAATAACGGAAGCTGATGATGTGGCTCCTGAGGACGAGACTCCTGACAATGTCGGCATCGTCACACTTGAAGATGTCATTGAGGAAATCTTGCAGTCAGAAATCGTTGACGAATTTGACATGATATGTGAATAATTATTTCATTTATTCTATTTAATTAATTTATTATGTTTATTAGTTTTAATTATACTGAAATTTTATTTCATATTATATTCAAAAGTTTATTCACAGTGATTAGAATCTCTTTAACTAGCAATTGGGAGCACGCTCAGTCATTCACTCAATCAATTTATTATATTCCTTTGTTGTCCAACCAATCGTTCACACTTCTACTTATTGCTTAAAATGTTTTACAATATACTTACATTTACTGACACACTCACCTAATCCAAACCTTGATAAAGATTGTTATATGGTCAACAGTTTAACTCAGAATGTAGAGCGTCCTACCGAATTTTTGTTTTGAAGAGTAAGGCGCTGTGTAGTTGTTCAAATGCAGACCATGAATATTTGAAAAAATTCGAATGCTCACACAATGTTTGAGAGCAAATGAATTTGAGAAGGAGTTCAGAGAAGGAGTTTTAAAACATTTAGCTATATTTTGAGCGTTTATTTATTCACCCGTTCATGTTTAGTTTCATGCACTTAATATTATTAAACTATTTAAACAAATTTGTTGTCATCTGACAGCTGACAATCGAGCAAAGTCTCCAGTGAAGAAGAGGACAACCTTCGACTTCTCCTTGCTTCACAAGAGTAGCAAACACAACTTGCTGTCGCCGCAGATGGCGCTGGCCGCTTTCAGATTCCTATCTTCATGTGACTAACTCGTTTGTTTTATGAAGTTTTTGAATTAAAAGAATAACTATTGAGACAAATTGTGAAAGTTTGACGAGGGGCTTGCGAATTGTTGCGGCGACTTGTGTTTTAAACTGAAACGGCATTATCAGCCAGTAAATTTTGAAGCAGTTTCTAATTAATGAGAATTTATCAGTAATTAATCTACTGACTTCATTTTTTTTTGCAAAAATTGTTTTAAATGTTAATAATAATAATGAGCCAATAAAATTGAATTAACGAACCAAACGCACAGCCGTTTCAGCTTTCCATCCCGACATCATATCAGAAAACGTCCTGCAACGACTACTGAAAGAGAACGTGGTGAAGGTCTTGAACCTGAAATCCTCGGCCTGCCACTACCTCTACCAACTGAACAGCCCCACCGACCACTTCATCATGCTACTGGAGGGGAGGGTGGAGGTCGAGTTCGGCAAGGACAAGGTCACTTTTGAGGGCGGGCCATTTGTTTACTTTGGAGTGCAAGCCATTCTCGGTTGGTTTTCGAATGTTATTTATTTTTCATGTTCTAACATGTTCTAACTATTTTTCATGTTTTAAGTTTGAGAAATAAAAGCTTTCAACGTGTAAAACACATGGCAAAGAACGTTTGTTTCACGCAACATAAATCGACAGTCAACAGAATTTTCATATTTATCGTTGAAATTTTTTGTGTGAAAAGTGTAAGAGTTAAATTAAAGATGTTATATTCTTGTTTAGTAACATGTTAAATATTGTGCTCAAGACTAAAAAACAACTTTTGATTTATACACACTGTGGAGCTTTGTTGTCAGAACAAAAACGTGATTTATTGAGTTGTTTATTGAATGAAGCATGCACAGGTCACTTTATACTAGTATAAATATAAATTATTTCGTACGATGTTCTCTCTGAATAACCGATACCGTAGAACTTTACGAAAAAATGAAGAATTTTTACGCGTGAAACTGTTCAATAACCTTGTAGGACCATCATGTAAGAAGTGTTCTCAGAAGCCGAGGTTGGAATGCATCCTGGACGCCAGCCACTACTACAACGAGAAGTCATCGGAGCCGCAATGTTTGGCCGACTACACGGTTAAGGCTGTGACGGATCTGAAGTACATCTGCATCAAGAGGACCCACTACATCCTCGCTGTTCACGCTTCATTGAAGGAGAGACGTAAGAACAGTGCACCGGGCAAGAGCCAGCTGGAAACAGGTTCCTGCGATAGAGACACCAACAGCTCCTTGAGTCAGCTTGCTTGGCCGAGCAACAACCCCGATAGCAACAGCTTCACAAATAACCGTGAATATCGCAGCAGAAGTAACGTCAGTCGTGACACAAACAGCAATAGAAATTACAGCCTTCACCACAAAAACGATTCAAACATCAACAACGTCAAGATTAACGACAACAATATAAGCAACAATGAAAATAACGACAAAAACATTAACAAAATTAACAGCACAAGCGCCATCAACAAAAAACAGCGCCACAAAAGCCCAGAAAACAACAACAAAGATGAATTCGGTTCGCGAAGTTCTCTACCAGAGCGCTCAGAACTCTTGTCAGACCTGCCATCCAGCGTCAACCCGAGTTTTCACTTCAGCAAACGAAGCTCCTTGCACAGCCTCAAAGGTCCCATCATCGTCAACTCGTCACTGAGGGAGAAGAACAAGATCCGCAAGTTCAAAAACCCGCTGGCCCACCTCTGGACGTAAAAACTGACAATACTCTTGGCCTGGTGGCTGGTTCTTGATTGTCGTGATATTCAGTTGGCGGTGAATCTCGTTATGTAGCAATAAGAATAATCAATGTTAAATGAATTGACCAGAGAGTACATCGTTTGAGATTGTGTACTGCAACTCTCAGCGTAATTTGAATATTAACGTAAAATAAAATTAAATTTCAGATGTTTATACATTTGACACAACGCTGATGTAGGGAGATTTTTTTACACTCTAATGAAGTAAGCTCACCTTGCACATCATAATAAGTTTTCAGGCATTTATTAAATTGATTTTCGCGTGTATAATAATTAAAACACCCCGGCAATTTTTGTTAAAGAGAGAGAGAGAGAGAGAGAGAGAGAGAGAGAGAGAGAGAGAGAGAGAGTATTTTACTTGTGTGTGTTACCTGCTGGCGTGTTTGTATAATTTGAATGTTTTTTTACGAAATGCATGCATACGAACACTGCTGCTGCTGGCATTGTGTATAAACTCTCGTTAGCTTTAGAGTTCTGGTGATTAAAACAATTTGTTAATTATTTCCTTTAATAAAGTTAATAATTTCTGTGAATATTTACGGAATAAACTCTTTCATTAATTTTCAATAAAAACAATCGTGTTTTATTAATATTATTCTTACAATCATTGTTATTCGCAAATGATATTTATAACTATTTTTATAACCATTGGTAACAACCTTGGGATGCATTATGTAATATGTGACGAAGTACCCATGCTTCGTTTTGACTGACCATGTTAAATTTCATAAATTTTTGTTTCTGAATAAATCACGTTTCTATTCATCTATTAAGTGCGTGTGTGTGTGTGTGTGCGTGTGTGAGTGTGTGTGCGTGTGTGTAAGTGTGCGTGTGTGTGTGCGTGTGTACGACGTGATTGAGTATTTTTTTAAACTGCATCATTAACAATTCATTTGGATTTGAACTAAACAGTGAAGAAAGCAGTATAAATCTTTTTTATATTTCAACACACAATCTCTCTCTCTCTCTCTCTCTCTCTTTCTTTCTCTCTTTCTTTCTCTATCTTTCTCTCTCTTTCTTCCTATATATAATTTACTAATTTTGCATTTCTCATTATATTTGTTGCATTAATATTAATCAGTATATATATATATATATATACATATATATATATATATATATATATATATATATATATATATGTGTGTGTGTCATATTTATTCATTCAATCATAGCATTCATTCATTTTCATATATTTTTTTCATAATTCAGTTATCGAATGGCAGTTAAAACAATCCAAGCACCTTGATGTTGCTATATATATATAAAAAAAAGGTGGCAAATATTTTTCTATTTGCTCAACTGTAAATGCCCGCGAAATAAATCATCATAACTCTCTCTACCTCCGTCGTGATCTTCCACATCATATTTTTTGTTGTTGTTGATGTATTCCATATTATTATTATCATTATTATTGATTTTCTTAATGACGTCATCGTCGCCATTAACGTCGTCATCAGCATTTCTGTAATCATTTCCGGCGTCATTAAGGTAATCGTTGATAGTTTTATTTCTGTTTTTGTTGCGTCTGTCTGCTGTCGAACCCGGTGGGTGCGTGTTGCGAAGTGGCATGTTGTCGAATGTTTTTTTACTCCACCAGACTGTGGGTGATGATGAAGTTGACGATGATGATAATAGTAGTAGTAATAATAATAATGATGCTGATGAGGATGGTGATGTTTTTTGATGGTGATGATGAATTTGATGACGATGTTAATGTGATACTGCTAGATCATCAATGTGGTGATTATGGATTAAAAAACTATGATGGTGGTGGTATAGAAATCTGGGACGGAAAATAAAAGTTCGGACCTATTTTGATTATAGATGATGATTACGCCGGTGATGCGAATTATGATATCATTAATATGATTGAATTTTTTGGAAGATTGGTGAAAAGTTTTGTAATTAATAAATGGTTAAATATATATTGCCGTGTGAACATTACGTAAAGATTAATAAAAATAAATAATATCTAGCAAAATTTTTTTTTAAGTTGTGTTACTAACTGTTTCGCTTTGGAAGCCTGCTTTTCAGAGCTGTTAATGATTACATTAAATTTTCTTTAATTTTTACAGGTTTTTACGATCAATCCAATATGCATACGAAAAAATATTTTTTAAAGAAATATATATATATAATAATAATTGATATATATATATAATAATATATTTTTAAATAATATTATAGTATGTCGTCGAAGAAGGTCAGTTTTTTGCCTATTTGGATTTTCTCTTCTCCTGTCTCAAACTGCCAGCATGTTGTAGACCACCACCTCTTCTCTTGGAATGTACGATTCAGTTGCTGACAGTTTAAAAAGTTCCATGTAAATTATCGACACCACTTATAAATGATTGACAAGACAAATTTAAAATCAGCTACTTTTAATACCGTAAAATCTGAATAAACTAGGTACACAACCTCTTGAACAGAACGATAAAAGAACGTAAAGTCAAATAGACAAATTTTCTGAAGCGCACGCGCTGAGCAGACATCAAGCTATGCGAAAAAAAACTTCTGATAAAAATTTATAACGAGTGGAAATTTAATTTATCACGGTGGAAATTAAAAAAAGAGCCAAAACTTGACGTCACATAAGATTTCACCCCGGTCCCCTTATCACAAAGGGTCACTAAATGTTTGACCTCCCTTCGTGGACATCCCTTGACACAAAAAAATGTATACCTTGGCAGAAGAGTGCCGTTGTTAGCGTCAGTACAAACACAATGATGAACATTTTGTAATTCATTTTCACAAATTTCGATTGTTGAATTATTTTATTGAGATATTACTACAAAAGTCTCTGAATGAATCAAACGTATCCTCAACGCTAGAACATCTACCTACCTTATATAGGACCTCCACTTATTGAACCATTCCTATGCATAAACGTCTCAAATTTAATTTAATGAGGTAGGAGTTTAATCGGGTGGAAATTATTTTTCTTTTATAAATTGTCTTCAGATGTCGTCGCTTGTAGAAACTCTCAGTACATGTTACGAATTAATGGCATGTTGGTTATTTGATAAATTAACTGAATTACCTGCTTCGAAAAGATTCTGTTAAATTTACTCTTCATGTTTTAATTTTGTATAATTTTTAAAATATTGAACCAGAGAGAAAATTTAAATTAGGCAACGAAAAACGTGAAGAAAATAATATTTTAAGATGCTGCCATGGAAATATTGTGGGCCAGTCAACCACCCAAAAATTTGCTACTGCAATTATCATTTATATTAATTAATTAATTAATATATAATTAATATATTAATTAATATTAATTAATATATAACGTCATTTTTCTAGCGTAGGTAAAAGTTTTTTGACATCTCAAAGCTTCTTTGCCGCGAACAAGCGCGCCAGACGCCATTGCATATGAAAGTAAGATGATCTCTTTACACTGGAAAGCAACAACAGGTTTTTTTCATCGGACACCGTTTGACCGATTCAAAATACCTCGTGGTCTAAAAATAACCTACAATAATTCTTAACAAGTGATTGAAAAACATTGAATGTTCATCAACTATAAGTTAGAGTAATTTATATAAAAGTGTAGTTTATATACTGTTAAAACTCTCTAGTTTGCAATTTGTTTATAATTTCGATTCATGTTTTCACGCCACACACACACATACCACGCCAAACACACACACACACACACACAAATACAAACACACACATACACCTACAAATGTAAACTCATTCTTCATCAATTTTGTGGTTGTGAATACATCTAACGGAGAATCAACCTCGATTAAACTTCATCCATTCAAAATTTTTTTAGATTTATTTACTTAAAATCAAATATTTACCAAAAAAACAGAATTAATTAAATTTTTCGTTAAAAGAAATAAAATGCAAAATGAATGAAGTTACAAATTAAATCATTAATATTATCATTATTAACTTTATATAATTTGAGATCAGTTCGCTAGCCTGTGTACGATTCCCAAATGCCAAAAATTATTTGAAATGTTTCGCGGAGTCAATTATTAATTTAAATAATTACGAAATATGAAAGTAAATATATGTAAAAACTAATGAATTGATTGAATGAACGTCTGAATGAACGTCTGAATGAATGTCTGAAAGAATGAATGAATGAATGAATGAATGAATGAATGAATGAATGAACGAACGAACGAACGAATGAATGAATGAATGAACGACGAGCTACAGATGCAATTAGACAAGTGAGTAACTTAATTACAAAAATTTAAAAATAAAATAAAATAAATAAATTCAATTACCTGTCGAATTAATACCTATAAATCACCACACAAGTGATCTATTGTTTACAACAGTGAAAAATATAAAAAAACTAAAAAGGAATTAAATAATTATGTGACCAATAAATTAATTAATTAATTTATCAGTCAATTAATAATTAGAAAATAATATTGAACAAGGTGTAATTGTACAAAAACATCAGATAAAATACATAGAATAAACAATTCAATTAGATTAGTCATCTAATTAAATAGTAGCTCATTAAAGGTTTAATCTAATTGAACTATTAATTAATTAATAAAAAATTATTTGATTATTGATTTCTAGAATGCAGACCAAGATAGTGGTGGTATACTTGATGGATGGATGTGCTATTAATAACAACAGTAAAATGCTTATAACACTCTTATGTATTATTTACAATACATTGCTTCAATTAAACTTTTTGTTTAACTCACAATAAAGTCAACTATTGAAAGGAATAATAATTAAATTACGAATATTGTTATCGATAATTAAAATAATTAATTATTTAACTGTTGTAATAATGATAAAATATTTGGTTTAAGATATGAGGATTTAAATAATTGGCATGAAAAAAAGTTAAACAAGACGTATTAATAATAAACATCGTGCGTAAACACGTAGTAACGTAGTAATAAAATTATACTTTACAATTTAAACTTTACAAATTAAACTTTAACCAGTATCAAACTGCGCTGAATTGTTAGTACACAGATGGCATTTGGTGTCTAACAATTTATTAATTGCAGTCAAAATGTTATAAAAACACGAGTAACAAGGCTACAAAGACAAGTAATTGTCGTCTTAAACGACTTGGCTTCACGACATCACGTTGATTTTTAAAAGTCTCATCGTATTTAAATAATAATTTGTCAACTCTTTACTAGCAACGAATTAAAATCATTCACTTAGTACGCGCCTATCTGTGACAACTCAAATAATATTAACTCTTAACTAAGATGAGTTCATATATATTTAAAAATGTTAAATTAATTAATTATTTTATCATATAAAACACTCAAAATCACATAAAGGATTTGAACTGAGATGCACACACCAGAACACATACACCACACACACACACACATACACACGCACACACACACCTAGCCACACACACACACCTAGCCACACACACACACACACACACACACGCATACACACGCACACACACATACTCATAAATACACACACACAAACATACAAACTCAACACACATGTATAATACATGCATTTAACCGCACAGAATTAGATTTAAGAGTTCATAACAAAAAGATATATAATAAGAAAAGTAATAAACAGCATTATACAAACCATCAAATCCAAAAACAAATGCATACTTAAGATGATTATTTTTTAAACTTTCTCCATACATTTGCAGAGCTGTTTATGACAAAACAAATGACAGAAAAATTCACTCTCACGTGAAAACAAACAATGTTCATAGCCCAAGAATTTGTAATCATGATGATTACGGTTTGTGATAAGGAGTCTTTTACGGAATCCTTTTCCATGTTTCGTTATCACGCTTCATGAAATAAACTAAAAAAAAGTTATTCATCAATCAGTCCGTCATTTTTATAAATAAATCAGAAAGTTATTCAAGAATTGTTTTTGTTATATGTAGCAATTAAAAAGTCTTTTCAATTCTTCACCGATGAATTTGAACGAAAATTTGTACATTCAATTTGAAGCTTTCTAAAAAAATCGAATTTGTTTTTAAAGTGGAAAATATTTTAATTTTGTAAAATTGTTCACGTTAACTATAATTCAATTATAACTCACTGGAAAAGAAAGCGAAAAATTTATAGAAAAAACTTTGAAAATGTAGTGTGACACTACACACATTCTTTATAAGAGGTGCAATACAACTCATCAAATCTAACAACAAAATGTCAAGAATTATTTGACTTATTTGACCTTGAATTTACTAATGCTAAGTTTCGTTTGTTTACAAACAGGCGAAACATATTTTACCCCTGTAATTTTAAAGTAAAAAAAATATGATGCTGATGATGAAACTGTTCTGCGGAAAAAAATACAGTTTTTCTATTTTGTTGCATTTTTTAAATGCTTAATTTTGTTTCTTTATAAATGTAAATGTGTGATGATTCAATTGCGGAGTTCCTTTGTTGTCTTGTGCTGCATTCAAGTGAATAGAGAATAAGTTCCCATGTATATGCATCAGTATGCACGCGAGCACACACACATACACACGCACACACACGCACACACGCACACACACACATACATACAAACGTACGTATATATTTATACATACAATCTAGATATATATTTACTATCTTAAATAATATGAGCGTACGTGCAGAATGTGTGAGTTTGAGTGTGTATGTGTGAATTTATTTGCATGCCTGTGTAAATTTGTAATTATGTTGCAGTACGTGTGTGCGAGTGTGTGTTTGTTCGTGTCTGTGTATGTGTGTTTTGGTCAGTGAAATTTAACACGATAAAATATGTTGTATTGTTAAACTCAAAGAATATATTTTGGGGCAATATGAGGTAAGAGATGGTTGAACAACTGTTTGAATTTGACCATGAAAATTTTCCAAAAGTTTTGGAATGTCTTGAATTCCATGAGTCAGTGCAAAATGAATCAACTGCTGAAGTATCTGTAAACACATTTTCTTTGTTTAGCCCTGTCCGGTAGAATTAACTGAATTTGTGATTTGCCAACATTTAATGATTTTGCTATTGAGATTGCAGTTTCTCCGCTGTCACTCCTTTTTGAAAAGTCGTATATTTAACGTTTTAATAATAGTATTTTTTGATTTTTTTTAGATCGTTGGTCGGGTATTGGAGAAAGTCGTAGATTGGGAGTGACGCCTAATGTGAAAACAATCCGTCAGACACAAAACGGTCGGGAATGGGAGAGAGAGAGTCGTAGTAGGTTGTTGGCGAGGAGTATCACTGTACCTCACATGTGTACCGCGTTAGTAAGAAAATTAAAAAAAAAATGAAAATTAAAAATTATTGAAATGCCATTGTAAACTCAACTCTGTTTACTTAATAACAGAAAATCTAGTGACAGTTATGAAAAACATTCGGTAATTAACAATTTTGTCTACCAGCCATTTGACTAACTTATAACGATACCAAATGAAATAAAAGTTTGCCAACATGTATATGTACAGAGTAGACAACATTAGAGCAACATTAGAGCAAGGTTATTGTAACAAAACTACGTGTTTTTATGAAACCACGACATGTTAAAACCGTTAACAAATGTAATTAATTTATAAAATCACTTCAATTATTGAAATTTAAAAATAAATATTATTATCTTTATGGCTCAAATTCATAATTATATTTTTTATCGTCGGTTAAAGGAAATGCTTTCAAAATAATGCCAGCAAGTACTTTAGGTGCAAGTGAATTATATTGACAAAGTTTATTACTAAATAACAAATTTGTTAATGCGCGTATATTGTCCATCTATTTGGTTTAATCGCTGTATGTGTATGTGGTTGTACAACTTTACGAATATTTCCAAATCAAAGTTGAGTTCAAGTACTATAGTTCAACTTTTACACTAAAATTTCATGAATTTAACTAACTATAATTTTTTTTTATAAATTGAACATTGAACATTGAAAATGATCAGTCAAGAGTCAGCGTTAATTTGCAACATGCCGTAAGTTGGAAGAGTTTTTTCGGGTGATTGAAGTGCTGATACGTTTTGCAGTATTTTATACTCTAGCTAGATAGCTACATACTATCACATATCATGAGTAATAAACACGGTACATGTGCACGTGTACCGTACAAATGTATATAGATGTTTCGCATCGTCGTCCAGATGTTTTCATGTTTTCATCCTGGCACATTTTCTCAGCTGCAAATCAGCCAACTTACTTTAAATTGTAACTAGCTTTTTAATTTTGAAGCAACGAAATTTTTTCAGGCTAGCCAACTGTCCTCGTTTGTGATCCAGAAGTTGTTAACCGACTATCCAAACTTTGAACTGCCACTCCACTCATCCATTCCAGAATCTTCTTGCTCATTTTTAATTGTTTGAGATTGATCGGCAAAGTTGTTTTTCATAACTGATTTTCAATTTTTTTGTAAACCGTTGAGTAGTTTTGCATGTTTTCAGATTTCAATTCAGACATTGAACCACTAAACCATTATCAAATAGATAATATCCAAAACCACGGATTATTAAAATTTGTCTTTTACATTCTCAACTTGCAGCAGAATGAACATGGATTTTTTCCATTCCTTTCCACTTTCGGTTTGCTAACTGCATTTACATGCTTGAAGCTCTCAGTTGTTCCTACATTTTATTTGCAAAGAAGCTGAAGCACATTTGACATTTCATCGTCACCATCGTGGTCATTCGTTGGTCATATTTTTTATAAACTGAATTTAGACCATCATTTTTGCTACGCTTATGTTTAATATTTATCAATTTCATTATTTTCAGTAATTGTTTGATATTTATAAAACCTTCACCATTATAATCTCCGTCTGCAAGCGTATCTTGCTGGCGAACGTTAATAAGGTAAAACATTTTCCAACAAAACTGAAGACTGACTATTGTAGCAATCATATTTTAATTTCGAACATTAAACTCGTCACTTTAAGTTGTTCACTTTTCCAAGAGGATCATGATGTGTCAATAGATGTCCTGAGTTATTTTTATTTATTTTTTATACGGATTTCATATTTTTTTTAGCATGGTCAAAACTTCCAACCATGTTAATAAATGCCTGAGAATATATAAATTTAAATAAATGAATAATGAAAAAAATAATTAAATTCATATCTAATTAAAGCTTCAAAAAAAAATATCATTGTATTTATATTCATGGTGATGAACATTAAAGACATGTCATAGGTACGTAATCCAGAAACATAAAATTGTATTACAATTTGCAGCCAAATCAGCCATAGCAATTTTTAAATTTTCGATACAATTACGTTAGAACATATTAAATTAATTTCTAAAGTTTTCACCGATTCAATGTCGTCAAAGCTAAAATCACAGAGGTCCAATAAATCTTCAGGACCAACTGCAAATGTGATCTTTTAAAAAACAAAAATTATCTTCAACAAAACTCAATTAAAAGCAAAATTTTCGGTGCTGATAACAAAGACATTTTCACATACACAAACTCGCACGCACATTCATGCACACACACAAACGAACATTAGTTTAAACTCAAATAAATTAAAGCCGAACACAAAACCATACATAAACCACGAATACGCAAACATATCCACACACATACACGCACATACATACACGCACATACAGGAGTCATACGTGATTGTGCACATTCAACTTACACACACATACACACAAATTCCTCCACACAGATATGAACATCATTAAACAGCCCTACTATGACACAGCATGATTTGCATTTATAAGTTTGTTTGATCACGACAAAGATGATGCCCACTTATGCTTATGATATTTAAACTCAGGAGTTTATTAAATTAGAAAAAGAATCGTCTCTGCAAAACAATAATTTAAAAAAAATAGTTTCTTTGTTTTGCTAGGGCCAGTTTTCCATCAATCACACTTTTAAAAAATTTTTCTTGGAGATGTGAAAAAAATACACTGGACAATTAATTAATTTAATTTTAATGAAAAGATTTTATTTTCAAATGAGCAAAATAATAATTATACAAATCTTAAAATCATGCACTCAATAAAAACATGAAAGTGTGCGTGTGGGAGAGTGAACCGTTTGCAACTATAAAGTCATGTTGCATGTATGTACATTTTTTAAATGTATATACGTTTCTATGTACGTGCGTGCATGTGCGTATATGCGTGTATATGTGTGTGTGTATGTGTGCGTATATGCGTGTATATGTGTGTGTATGTGTGTATATGTGTGTATATGTGTGTGTATGAGTGTATATGTGTGTGTGTGTATGCGTGTGTAAGTACATACATATGTACATGTAAGTAATACACGTACAATCATGTATGTGTTGTCTAAACTTTTGTTAACAAGTTGTTGTATGAATGTTTTGAACTCCACGGACATGTATATTTCACTTGAAGTACCTTTTGTTGAGGATGGTTATATAGGTACGGACCACATGAGTTGGTCTCAAATTTTGCACGTACGTTAACGCGGGGAACATGCGCGTCGTTCTATTGGAAATTGTATCCAGTTCATTTGAGGAACATTCGTCATCATGGAAATACTTTTAGGATTAATTTCAACAGAAGAGAGGACGTGAAAAATCAAGAAGATAAACTGTTTGCAACTAAAGTAGTCGTTGCATTTGTCGTCGGTTGTGGCGGGTGAAGTTGAATGTTGGATGAGGATGTTTGGTGCTGGTGCTGCTGCTGCTGTGGAACGTTGTTCTTCTGGAGAAGTTGCTTGAAGAGGTTGGAGGCGAGGAACCTGGGGTAGGAATCTCGCTTCATGAGGGTGAAGATTTGAAGTTGGGCCTCGTCGAATGTTGATTTGTTGGGATCAATCATCTTTTTATTGATCATCTCTCTCACCTGAGCGTCTAAGCTCACCTGGTTGGTTAGTTGATTGATTGATTGACGGAGTGCTGGATTGATAGAAGGATGTGTATATGAATGCGATGTGTAATTTTATCTCTTTGTTCTACAATGTCTATTGTATCATTAAACCTGTTTGTTTGTTTGTTTGTTTTTCCATCTATCTATATATCTACATTTATTTATGTTGATAGATTGATTGATGAGTGAGTTATTAAAATTTTCAAGTTTTTAAAAAATCTATAGAAGAGTTGATGGGGATAATTAAAAATAAACGGTAACTATAGTAATTGATGTCGATATTATTTCTATTAATTATATTTTTTACATTTATTTTATATACTTTACATATTTTATTTAACATGATATTGTTATTAACTGTTTATTTAGTTAACCACTTAGTAATTTAGTAATTTAATAAATTTATTCTGGTATTTTTCAAATATCTATTCAGTATTTACTCTGAAATCTTAGTGGCTAATTATAATATAAAGTTTAAAGATTACTCTCTCCTTTGCACTTGCTTCAGAGGTTTCAACGACAAACACACACAGCGTATATGAATACGCGTGCAAACCACGAATCATACACATTGCATATGATAGGCGGAGATCTCTTTGTATTCGAACCCAGTCAGTGCAGCAGCAAGACCAGACGCCGTTAACCATTGAGCCATAACTAACCACACATTAATTATTATTTATAACCGTAGTAAAATTTGCTACCAGCTCTTTTGCTGTCCACGCAGAAACTACTTCTTAATATTTGTTAACGAACTCACATAACGATGCATGTAGTGTAATGTTTTATATTAACTTATCTAATCGTCAAAACATGCATATCAAGAAGGTAAGTAAAGTAGCTACAGTTTTTAAACTTAAGCGTCCAAAAATTATTGATATTCAAGATACGACGTCACTGAAACAACCTCTTTCGGAGATAAGATGGAGATGTAATCGTCGTATATGACCCTTGCTTTCTCTTCTATCATCACAGGGTTCGATTCCTGTCTCAGCTCTTCACAGGCCAGCCAGAATAACATGTTCTCCTCACTGTACTCTGACCTGAGGAACTCTGTGAAAATCTGTCTGCCGGCTATTTTTGAAATGTGGTTCTTGGGTGAATGTGTGCATATGTACTCGTTTGTTTGTACGTGTGTGTGTATGTGTGTGTGTGTGTATTCAAGTGTCTGTGTATGTATATGTGAATGTATTTAGATAAGAATCCATGAGTGTATTGCGTGTGCGTGTATATTTCATTTGTGAGTACGTGCGAATGTATATAGGCAAGAATGTATGTGTGTTATGTGTGCGTGAATGTATTCGTTAACTTCAATTATTTTTCTGTCTGTAAATTAGTAAGTACATCTTTATGTTTGAAGATACCTGCTCTCACGTGAGTTCGACATTGTTTGCATGACAGCTATTGATGTGACTGGGCGAGTTTAATTATTTACAAATGTGTTGCAGGGTAATTAAATGCATGACTGTGAGACCCTGTGATACTCTATCTATTGCATTATTACGTATCTATGCTACACGAAAAAGATTTTATCATTATTACTATTACTGTTTTAACATTTATATTTTCTTCTCCTTCTTCTTTTTCTTCTTCTTCTTCTTCTTCTTCTTCTTTCTCGTGCCTTATCCTTTCAAGACATTGGCGACCATCGACCTCCACAAAACCCGATCTTGAACACTTTATAGTTATTGAAATGAATATTTGTAAAGCGCCAATTTTTGGCAACCAAACCAACTAGCTTACATTTAAGTATTTAATTGCATTGATGACAAAACTTTTGCCCATTTAAGAATTTTTCGTTTCATTTTTTTTTCTGAATAAGAGTGAAATAAAACCCAAACGAGATTGCAAACTCTATTTACCGAACTTTCAACATGTTACTCAAATCCTGTTAGAGCGCCTCAAAGAGCTATTAAGTCATGTAGCGTGTGGCATCGTTTGGACATTCGCTTGCTATGTGTGGTTGAGGACATTTCTGACACTCTTTATTGTTTTTATATTTAAAAATTATATATTTGTATATATTTAAAAACATTTATATATTTGTTGAATTATATATTTATAAATATATTTAAACTACCAATCAACCAACCAATCAACCAACCAACCAATTAACCAACCAATTAACCAACCAATTAACCAACCAACCAACCAACTTACCAATTAACCAACCAACCAACCAACCAATTAACCAACTAACCAACCAATTAACCAACCAACCAACTAACCAACCAACCAATTAACCAACCAACCAACCAATCAACCAACCAACCAACCAACAAATTAACCAACCATCCAACCAATTAACCAACCAACCAATTAACCAACCAACCAATTAACCAACCAACCAAACAACCAACCAATTAAACAACCAACCAACCAACAAACCAACCAACCAACCAACCAAACAACCAACCAATTAACCA